ATTGCAAAAGAAAAAAAACTGGACTGTTTATAACAATTTTCCAATTTGTCCGCTATGTGAATAGAGGACGACACTTCATAAAACATTGCCAGCAGCGCATGGAAAGAGGCGTAAAACAGCTTAATAAGCAACAACATGTCGCAGTCCACAGATAAAACAAACTTGAGTTTGTACTAAACATGGCACGCGTACAACTTTTTCTTAGCGCACTTTTTTGTTTAGGCCATGGGGCACAACAATCCCGCAAAGAATAACTTATCATATAAGACGAACCAAAAAAAAAAAACAACAAGAAACCAACAAGTAATATGACCAACATAGGAGTAATAATAATATAATACTAAAATTATACCACAAGTGGCATGAGGGGGTACATAGTATAAGGCATATATACAGATATTCGGTTATTCATAAGCATAGGTGTCGAATCTGTGCAGCCAGAAAAAGGGGACACATGCTTTGATATTTGTTAAGAAATCAGCAAATTTTTGTCGTCTTATCGCATTGGAGGGTATATTAACCCTGGTTTAAATGATGTGTATATGGGAAAATTGTAATTAAATTGGCTGAAATATAGCTTGAAATGGGTTGAATAGATATATGTCAGTTATTTCTTCTTGGTACGATGGTAATAAGATGAGATAGTCACGAAAATTGAAAAGAAATCCTTTTACAATATGAACCATCGGAAGACGTGTTGTCTTAGAACTAATGAATAATACAAACAAACAGCTAAGTTCGACCGGGTGGAACTTTTAATACCCTCCACCATTTGAAAGGAACCTAAAAAATTTCAAAAAAAAAAACGGAATCAAAAAAATCCCGAATCTTAAATGAAAACCGTTATATGGGGACTATATGAACCCGTGGACCTGCATATGAAAGTTTTAATCATAAGATGTAGTACCCATTGCGAACTTTAAATACGACATTTGTTACAACTATCGGAAGGTACCGTCATATGGGGGCTATTCAAAGACGTGGACCTGCATACGATTTTTTTTGCCATAGGTTGTAGTACCCATTAAGATCTACTAATACGAAATTTGAAAGGATTCCGGTGAATAATGTTTTGGAAATCATCAAAATACCGAATATCGGGACGTATCGGTATATGGAAGCTATACAAAGACGTGGACCTGTATACAAAAATTTTTGTCATAGGCTGTATTACCCATTACAAACTTCAAATAAGAAATTCGAAATAATTTCGATAAATAATGTTTCGGAAATCATGAAAAGACCGAATATCGGGAGGTTCCGTTTTAATTGGGGCTATACGAAAACGTGGACCGACATGGCCCATTTACGAACTTAACCTGCCTATTGGTACACTATGCATGTATGCAAAATTTTTATTTAGCCTTCTACCCCAATTTGTTCGAAAGATAGCGTGTTTACATCAGACAGACGGGCATCGCCAGATCGTCTTAGAATTTTATCCTGATGATATATTTTGTAGGGTATATTATGAATATTTCGAGGAGTTACAAACGGAATGACAAAGTTAATATACCCTCCATAGAATGGTGGATGGTATAATAAATTGATTAGCATATTTATAGCCTAGCCATTTTATAGTTGTCTGCAATTTTTGTGTCACGTACCTTTGTTTGGCTTCATCTGTATAACAAGAAAAAAAACCTAGAACATTTTACAGAAGCCTACATCAGGCACGTTATCCTGTCTCGTGCACACACATACGAAGAACACCACCGTGGAGAATATAATTTTTTCGTCAAACTTTAGGGCCTCCTACACACATATGTATATATATGTATGATTAGAATCGTCTATGTAACAAACAGATCTATATGTATGAATGTATGTACACACATGATTGAATGCATGTTCAAAGATGTGACCAAAGGGAATTAAATAGACTTGGTGAAAATCGTGTGTTAAAGTTTTCTCCATTATATGCCACGACCAATATTACTTGGCTGAATTGTTTGGCAATTGTTTTCGATTGGTAATAATCATTTTATATATATATGTATGTTTTTTCCTAATTATACCACACATATTGTGGTACATTCTAATGTAATTGGATGTTGGAAAAACTTTCTCAAGTTTCAAAACCAGAACAAATTACAGGGTGAGATAAAAAAAACTGCAATAAAGTCAAACGCCATCATTTTTACATTTTTTTTTTTTTAAATTTCATTGAATGAAAGCAAAAAATGTCGCAAATAGCATCAAGTTTTAGACTAACTTTAGATTTGTTTGAATTGGTCACCTTTGGCAGGAATTATGGCCCTCAAACGGCTAATGAAACCGTCACACGCTGGTTTGTGGTATTTTGGCTCATTCCCGGCGAAGCACTGGCTTGAGGTAATTGACACTTTGGTATTTTTTAGTTGCAATCTTGCTTTCCAAACTACTCCAGACACAATAGTCCAACGAATTGGTATCCGGAGATTTTAATGGCCATTGTGCGCTGGAAATGAAGCGAGGAACCTCATTTTGTAACCATTCTTGGGTGGCGCGTGCTGAGTGCGATGGTGCTCAGTCCTGTTGGAATGTCGAAGGTCTGCGGCCAAAATATTTTGTGTGCTCAAGGCTTTAATAGACCCTCCAGAATATTTTCTTGATAATATTCGGCATTTATTCAGATGCCACGGTCGATTAATACGAGCAGAGAGCGACCATCGGCTGTTATGGCAGCCCACACCACCACCATGGCCGGCGCTTGAGTTCTGGTGGACAACCAAAGGTGCATATTTTCAGCTGACCTCTTTGGCAAGTAAGCACGATCATTTTGTTTGTTTACAAACTGCTAGACAACGAATGTTTTCTCATCGGAGAACACCAAATTCGGCAGTTCACCACCTATTTTCTTTCCGCTGCGGTGTAAGTTCTTGGACTTTTTGGAATTTTATTGGCTTTACCCCGAGCTCAATTTTCAATATTTGGCGAATGAAATATTGCGATGTGTTCAGCTCACGAGCCATTTTTCGGCCACTGCGACGCGGGTTTCGATTAAGTCGCTTCTTTACTTTTCGAACCATTTCTACTGATGTTGCTGTTTTCTTCCGTCCACTTGCTGATGTCGGGCTACGCTACCAGCATCACGGTAATGAGCGATGGTACGAGACACAAAAGATTTATTCACATTTAAATGCCCGAGTGCTCTAACGATAGCCACTTGTGGTTTTCCAGCCAAATATAAAGATATCACACTATCACGCTTAAATTCCATCACGAATAATTTTTTTTCTGTAAAATTATCACCAAAATGCTTTTGTACGCTTGTATACAATATAATGAGCTGTCACTGTAATAATTTTAAAAGCTGTCGGACGAGTGGCTTAGAAAAGACAGCAGTCTGAAGTTTGTTGCAGTTCTTTCATCTCAGCCTGTACGTATCCATATCCGTGCCTACCGCGATATGCCTGCTTAACACACATCAATTGTTCCCACAACATTTAAGGCCAAATGCTGATTTATAATTTTTTAATGTTTGAAATTGTTTAGTTTATAATTTAATATATTTCTCTAAAATGCAGCTAAAGTCAATTTTAAGAATTTTCAAACGTTTTTAAACATTTGCCAAATGTATATTTTATTGTGTATTGTATTTTTCAAACGAATTTGTTATAATTTGAGTTGAGACGAGTTTTCAAACCAAATTTGTTTTAGTGTTTCGGGTTCAAAATGGTTACAAACCCTTTTCTGTTAAATATGTTCAGTGTACGTATCTCACGATAGCGGGCATTTCGAAGATTCAGTTGCGAGTTTAAAGAAAAGTGGTTGTACTTTGGCAATTTATTTCAATATATATTTAAAGGGGGTTATTAAACTCTTTTTTTATTTTGTATTGAAATTTGCTGCCTTGACATTTCAAAGTAATTTTCCAGATACAGATCTGGAATTCTAGAAAATGTTGTTAATTTATTTCAACATTTTTTTCTTTGCGATAAAAAACTATGCACTTGTTTTTAATGAAAGTGAATACAGAACAAAACAAAATTCTAAATATGTTTTTTTTTTAAATTTTGTTAAATTTATGTGAAAAATATCAAAATTATTAAAATTTGAAATGAAGTTTTTCTTTTCATTCTACATATGTTTTTAAAATTTTGAATTTAAGTCAAAAATCAAAATTATGAAAAACTCATTTGAAATGGTGTTTTGTTTTTCTCATTCACATATTTCGTTATTCAGAAATAGACCCTAAAACTACTGTAGATGAATGTTCTACAATTCGAATAAAAAAAAATATTCATCTTTAAACGCAATTCTATTTTTATTTCTTTAATTGTAAGGTAATGTAATTAATTATATGGTAATTATATATAATAGGTTTAAAAAAATGTAATATACGTTGGTATGAAATATATCATATTATTGTTTATATATGTAAGAAAGTTAATATAAAATATTATGAAAATGAAGCTTAATTATAGTTATTATTAGTGTTGTTTGTTTGTTAAAAAATATGTATAATTTTTTAAAAAATATCTATAATTTTGGGAAAAAGAAAAAAATAATACATAATCGATCCTTTTACAAATTGTTCTATCTCATCTATTTTATAAAAAAAATAAATTTATTTTATAAATATAATTGTTAACTTTTCTTAAAATAGTAAAATTTTAAGAAGAAAAATATGATTGTAAGAAAATAATGTAATACAAGGCAAAGTGTTGTAAAAATATTCGTAACTAAAAACAAATTAAAAAAATATTTAAAATATCGGTTAAATTATGCTTTGGCTACTTTTGTTAAAATATAAATAACATTCCGTTTCATAATTTCGAAAGAAAAATGTTTGCCACTTCCTAATCCCTTAAGGTGGAGGTGTTTGTGGTGTAAGAAATAAAGGACAATAACGACTTAATTCAAATGCGATTCGAGCTTAAGATTTGTATTTAAATGTTTCTTTCGACATTGTGAAACAGCTTATATCAATTTTCTTTATCTATCTATCTTTTCCGACAATTACTAATAACGTCTTTTCTTATTTTTTTCTTTTTTCTCATTTCCCCAAACTCTAGAAACCACAATTGCAAAATACGGACATACTAAACAATGACGAATCATCAATGGACCAATGCTTGTCGCCAGCTCTGGCCAAGCCTCTGAAATGTCTTACAAATTCGGCAACTTCTTCGCCGACACCCAATGAAACGGGTTTGCTGAATTATCTAAACAATCCCTTGATTTGTGGACCAGGTGTTTTGCCATCACCCACCTTGGCCTCGATGGCTGTTATCAACGATGATTCCAATCCACCCGGTCTTACTGCTTGTCCCGATATTGTGGAGGGGGCCAATGATAGTGGCATTGACGATAGTATCCATGAAAATATGTCACCACTTAAGAGGGCCTATGAAGGAAACGATTCCACAAATCAAGATAAACAACAAATGAAATTGAATAAAAATGGACTCGTTATGGTGGCTGAAGTTACGCCAATGGCAGCGGTAAACCAGAGCAGTGGTGGCAATGATGATGATATGGGTGCCTCCATTTGCAAACGCAAACGTTCGATTTCATTTTTGGACAGCAATAATCCCTTGATGGCCACACCATTTCTAATGGATTTGTGCAATGATGATTATGTCATGAGTCTGGGAGAAAATTATATTGACAATGTTCTCAATGTCTGGCCCGAAGAACTGGCCTGATGTATGGCATAATTAAATAAATAAATAAATAAATAATAAACATAAACAAAACAGAACACACAAAATAAATAACTTTGACAATGAAATGAAAACAAAACAAAAGCTCATAATAAATAATCTACAAACCATTTGCTTAAATAAAACAAAACAAAAAAAAATATTTGTTGATTTTCTAAAAAAAAAAATAAAGTGTTGCAACATCTCTTTTAGTTGTCTTCTAACACACAATTGTAAAATAGTTTTTAAGCCAAACAAACAAACACCAGCAAATACCCACAAAATAGCAAAAGAAAATCACACCAAACACACCCCCCCCCCTTTTTTTTTGAACTGCCCCCGTTTTTAGGATCCCGATTTTGTCCTGGAAAATAACCACACAAAAACTAAAAATCAAAACATAAAAATTATATTCTATAGATTTTAGAACCAACAAACATAATATATTTTTATATAGAATGAACAGGAAAAAATTAAAAAAAAAAACTAAAAAAAAAAATAAAAAAAATTTTAATCATAGTTATATTCTTCTTTAAAAAAAAATATATAAATAAAACAATTGGTGAAGGTTTAAATACAGTTTTTTTTTCTTGATTTCTTTTAAAAATAAAAGTTGTAATCAAAATTTTATTCAAATTCATCTTTTTCAAAAAAACAATAATTTTCAACAAGCTATGATTAATCAAAAAATCCAAAAAAAAAAAATATTTTTATTCTATGGTAGTTAAAAAAAACAAACAAACAACAAAAATAGTTTAAAGAATTTAAGAGCATTTATTCATATAAACCCATAAAGATACATAAAAAAGAAAAGATTTTTGTTGATTTCAATTAAAATTTCGTTTATTCAAATTTATAAATTTCTAAAAAAAAACTTCTATACAAAACCCAATTTTGTATTTTGCTCTATTGATTATCATTGTGCGTGTGTGTTTCTGTTCTAATTACTTTGATATGTTTTTCTCCAAAAATTTTATATCGATATGTTTTCAGTGTCATTTATTATATGTATTCTTTTTTTCTTCAAAATTTTTTGAAACCATAAACACATTTCTTTATATACAAAAATTATAACATAATAAATAAATTGATTATATATAATTTGAAATATTTGCAGAACAAAAAAAACGGTGTTTTTTATTTTGATAAGAATTGAACATGGGCGGTAAGTAGAAACCTTAAAACAGACATGTTATTAAAACTTCGCCCAGAAATGTTATTAAAACTTCGAAAATTAAGAAAAAACAATTTGGAAAAATCATTGTATTGACATAAACTTTTTCTTTCGGACAACATTAACAGCGCACCTCCACCGAAAAATCGTTTGGCAACTATGGAAATACTAACATCAGTCGGCTATATCAGTTCAATTAATCGACGTTGGGTATTATTGCTTGTGGTAAAAATCGTAAACTCGAATATTAATGTTACAATGTTTGTAAGAACCACAGGACCACTTTTCAGAGAAAATACACATTAAATTGAATTGATGGCACAGTACGTAAAATTCAACTATCAAGTGTCCGCTCTTCATCAGCGAAAAGACCAACTTAAAATTTTAAATTCGTTGGTGCAAGGCCTTTACAGGTTGAGATAAAAAAACTGCAAAAAAGTCAAACGCCATAATTCTTACATTTTTTTTTTTCAATTTTATTGAATGAAAGCAAAAAATGTTCTAAATTGCTTCAAATTTAAGAATAAATTTAAATCTGTTCGAATTGATTACCTTTGGCACAAATTATGCCCTTCAAACGGTCAATGAAACCGTCACACCCTGCCCGAATATTGCTCTGCCGGTATTTTTGCCCATTGCCGGCGAAGCGCTTGCTTGAGGTGATTGACACTTTGGTATTTTTCAAATGCCAACTTTGCTTTTCAAAATACTCCAGACACAATAGTCCAACGGATTGGTATCCGGAGATTTCGGTGGCCATTGTGCGATGGAAATGCAGCGAGGAACCTCATTTTGTAACCATGGCGCGTGTTGAGTGCGACCAAATTGTTTGCATGCACAAGGCTTTAATACACCCTCCTGAATATTTTCGCGATAATATTCGGCATTTATTCTGATGCCTCGGTCGATTAATACAAGCGGAGAGCGACCATCGGCTGTTATGGCGGCCCACACCATCACCATGGCCGGCGCTTGAGTTATGGTGACCAACCGAAGGTGTACATTTTCAGCTGACCTCTTTGGCAAGTAAGCACGATCATTTTGTTCTCATCGGAGAAAACCAAATTCGGCAGTTCACCACTTTCGGCCAAGCGAAGCAACTCTTTAGCTCTTTTCAGTCATTTTCTTCTGTTGCGGTGTAAGTTCTTGCACTTTTTGGAATTTAAATGACTTTACCCCGAGCTCATTTTTCAATATTTGCCAAATGGAATATTGCGATATGTTCAGCTCACGAGCCATTTTTCGGCCACTGCGACGCGGGTTTCGATCAAATCGCTTCTTTACTTTTCTAACAAATTCTGCTGATGTTGCTGTTTTCTTCGGTCCATTTCCTTGACGTCGGGCTACGCTACGAATTTACAAACCAACCCCAAATCTCAAACACAGTTGTCATCAATAATCGAAATATTTAGTACTTTTCTTAAAAATATATTACATATTTCCAAAACCACCTTCATATCTCAATCGCAGATACCAACAAAGTCCTCAGTATCAAATTTTGATCTATTCCAGCTCTATCCCTTCACCCAATACCCATTTTAGTAACATTCTAAAACCACTACCATTCTTAACCACGGACACCAAAAGTGATCTCAATGTTAGAATTTCAGCTCTATTCCTTCACCCAATACCAAATTAAGTACCATTTAGTACTTTTCGTACAATTATAGTAAACATTTCCAATATCACCTCCAAATCTGAATTCTAGCTACCATGAGAGATCTCAATATAAAATGTAAGGTTTCCAGTCCTATCGCTTCACCCAACACGAAATTTAGTACCATTTACTGCTCTCCCTACATATATAGGACGCATTTCTAAATCTAAATCTAAATATCAAATTTCACACACTTTCTAAAAAACCACCTACATATCTCAATATCTCCAGATGGCAACAGATACCAATTATCAAATTTCGGGAGTCCGGCTCTATTTCTTCACCCAATACCAAATTTAGTATCATTTATTACTATTCGTACAATTATAGTACGCATTTCCGAAACCATCTCCATATGTTCAGGCTACACATAAACAGCGAACCAAATTGTTTAAAAAAAATATAGTATTAGTTAGTACTTTTCATACATTTGTAGTACACATTTCCAATAATACCTCGTTGTCACAAACCTACTACCAACAGGGACCCAATGCAAATTTCAATATTTCAGATATATCCATTCAACTTTAAACTAAACTGTTCCAAATTTAGTACCACTTAGTACAATTCGCATACTTAGTACACATTTCCAAAGTCACCTTCGTATATCAAACTTAATTTCCGACCTCGATTCTCATAACAAATTTCAAGTATTTAGCTCTATCCATTCACATAATACCAAATGGAACAACGTTAAAACTTTTCGTAATCTTAAAATTCGAATTTCCAAAACCCATCTATCCTGCACTCCATCAGTGACTCTCATTCTAAATTTGAGAATTCAAACTCATTCCGTTTGTCCAATGCAACTTATTAAATTTGTAGTACATTTTATAACTTTTCGTAACTTTTAGTACGAATTCCCAAAAATCCAGACTGCGCAACGAGACTCACCTTTGTGCAAAGTTTCGAGATTTTAGCTTAATTTTGAGAAGAGAACCAAAAAACCAATTTCGTTTTACAAATGTATTGCAATTTATTTATATTTCCTAACCTATTTATATTTCCTAACCTATTTATATTTCCTAATCTACAATAGTATCCTGCTCAGCGACCTCTTTTGCAGTAGTATTGAAATTGAATTTTTTTTTTATTCTAACAATGATGACCAAAAGATGTCGTTGGGAGTGTGGAATCATGTCTACGCTAAATGTTAGAGTATTACCATTCAAAAACAATTTGAGGCAAATATGCAAACATCTTCGCTGATATGAGTTTTTCTCGCATCCAAACAACGAAATCCACTCTTGGGTTTATTTAATACTCATTTATTATTTTATAAACAAATAGTTTTAATGCTTCTTTAATAATTTTGTGAAATATCTTCTGCAGCACATCACAGTGCCTAAAAGTATGTTATAGTTTATAAGCATTCGATGGTTTACTTTATGGAAGACACATGCTGTTGGTTCAAGGCAATACTATTCATAGGAAACGAACAGAAAATATTACAGAGTATTTTTTATAGATGTCGCCAAGTGCGATTTGTGTTGGCAACGCATGATACATAATCTTCTTATATCTATAAAAGAGGAAAATGTTGGTATGTTTGTTTGTTTGTAATTTATGGACTCGAAAACCGCTGCATAGATTTTCCTGAAAATTTGCATGTATACTGCAACATCGCCTGAAAGTAACATAGGCTATATACATTTTTGAAATTCCACTTGGAAGTGGAGATTTAGCATCAGAATCGGAGGTACCTCCCAAAAATTTAGATTTTGTATTCACATATCTATTGATCGATTACAAATACAGTTCTCAAAATTTGAAATGCGTAACGGAATTTGGAACAAAAATAAATTTGCCAAATTATATTGAAATCGGTTCAGATTTGGATATAGCTTCCATATATATTTTCGGCCGATTTCAAGCATTTGATGCACCAAACACGCTATGTATCCCAAATTTCAATGAAATTTGAAACGTGTGATGGATTTTATCTAAAAAATTGATTTCCCAAATTATATTGAAATCGGTTCAGATTTGGATATAACTTCCATATATATTTTCGACCGATTTCGTTCATTTGATGCCTCAAACACGATATGAATGTTCGATTCCAATGAAATTTGGAATGTTTAACGGGATTTGATCCAAAAATAAATTTATCAAATTATATTGAAATCGGTTCAGATTTAGATATAGCTCCCATATACATTTTAGGCCGATTTCATGTATTTGGTGCACCAAACACGCTATGTATGTCCAATTTTAATGAAATTTAAAATAAGTAACGAAATTGGGAGCAAAAATGAATTTGTCAAATTATATTAAAATCGGTTCAGATTTGGATATAGCTCCCATATATATTTTCGACCGATTTCATGTATTTGATGCACCAAACACGCTATGTATCTCTAATTTCAATGAAATTTGGAATGTGTAGCGGAAATTAAAACAAATATACATTTGTCAAATTATATTGAAATCGGTTCAGATTTGGATATAGCTCCCATATATATCTTCAACCGATTTCGTTTATTTTAAGCACCATACACGATATGTATGTTCGATTCAAAGAAATTTGGAATATGTGACGGGATTTTGATTAGAAAATAGATTAGTCAAATTATATTAAAATCGGTTCAGATTTGGATATAGCTCTCATATATATTTTCCGCCGATTTCACATATTTAATACACAAAACACGATACGTATTTCCGATTCCAATGAAATTCGCCATGAGTGACTAAATTTGGTACCAAAATAAATTTTACGAATTATATTCAAATTCGCTCAGATTTTATTATAGCTCCCATATATATATTCTCGGCCGATTTCACATATTTGATGCACCCAAAGCGAGAGAGACAAATTCTGGCACCAGAAAAAAAAATTGCCAAATTATATTGAAACCGGTTGAGGTTTGGGTATAGCTAACATATATATTTCGTTTGACTTCATACATGTTATGTACCAAACACGATTTATATGACCGATTCCAATGAAATTCAGAATGTGTGGCGAAATTTGGTTACAATAATAAATGTGATAAATTAATTGGAAATTTGTTAAGATTTGGATATAGCTCCCATATATATTCTCGGTCGATTTCACATATTTGTCGCACCAATTTCAATGAAATATGAAAGTTGTGGCGAAATTTGGTGTAAAAGTAATTTTTTTTAAATTATATTTAAATTGGATCAGATTGGGATATGATTTTAATAAGAACCATTGACCCACAACGCCTTAGGCTAAGACTAAAAAACAACACAACAGTTAATTTGAAATACGCTTATTACGGGGAAGTATGTTACTACCTCGAATTCACTAATTGCAATAGAAATGCCAATCAACTTCAAAAAATTGCAGTTTCCTGCACGCTTGGTATTTGCTATGAAATAAATAAATCCGAAGGACAAAGCCTTCGTGTATGCATGTCATATTACTGCTTTTCTAATGGTTTTCCAACAACATATATTCGTAAATAAAATTTTGAATGCATATAAAATCAAAAGGGGTAGCGAAGCGCACCGGGTTCAGCTAGTTTTATTATACATTTTCTTCCGAATCTGTATACCTAGATAAAATTAAGAAGCAAGCCTTGTGTAATCATATCTTTAGAATTTTTAAGTTTGTCATTCCGATTAGCGATGTCCATCCGTCTGTGGAAATCACTCTAGCTTCCGAACGAAATGAAGTAGGCTGATAAAATTTTACTCAAATGTATATATTATGTCTACAGGACTTTTGGTATTGAAAATGGGCCATGTAGGTCCAAGTTTATATGTATAGCCCCCATATAATTGTACCTCCCGATATTCGGTATTTTGATTTTTTTAGCGACATTATTCACCGGAATTGTTTAAAATTTGGTTTTTGAAGTTCGAAATGGATACTACAGCCTAAGGCAGAAAATTGTCTGTGCTGGTCCACGCCCACATATAACAGTACCTCCCGATATTCGGTATTTTGATGATTTTAGAGACATTATTCACGGAAATTGTTTAAAATTTGGTATTAGAAGTTCGAAATGGATTCTAAAGTCTAAGTCAAAAAATTGTCTGTGCAGGTCTACGTCTTCGTATAGCCCCCATACCACGGTACCTCCCGATATTCGGTATTTTGATGATTGTAGAGACATTATTCACCGGAATTGTTTCAAATTTGGTATTCGAAGTTCGAAATGGATACTTAAAGTTCGAAATGGATACTAAAGCCTAAGACAAAAAATTGTCTGTGCAGGTCCACGTCTTTGTATAGTCCCCATACAACGGTACCTGCCGATATTCGGTACTTTATTGATTTTTGCGACATTATTCACCGGAATTGTTTATAATTTGGTCTTTGAAGTTCGTTATGGATACTACAGCCTAATACAGAAAATTGTATGTGGAGGTCCACGTCTTCGTATAGCCCCCATATAACGGTACCTCCCGATATTGGGTATTTTGATGATTTATCTACATTATTCACCGATCTTTTTTTTAAGTTTCGCATTTGAATATTGTAATGGCCTATGACATAAGTTACCCATGCAGGTCCATGTTGTCGTATAGACCCTAATATAACAGCTACATTCGGTATTTTCTTTAGATTTTAACATAATTTTAGAATTGGAATTTTTGAGAATTGCTAAATTCATTCCAAATGGTGGAGGGTATTCAAAGTTCGCCCGACCGAACTTACAGCTTTTTTACTTGTTTCACAATTATATCGAGATAATTAATATTATTAAATTTGTATGTAAATGTTATATAAATCCCAAACGGTTTGTCCTGGCAACGCAAGGCATATAGTTTTGAATTTATCTTTAATTCTGAACATGTTTTTTATTTAAAATATATAAACAACAAATATGTAATATTTTAAACTAAAAAATGAAATAAATAACTAATATTATTAATATTAATTGATGAGTATATAAAAGTCCAAATTATAAGTAGAAAAAAAACAGCATAGCATTTTATGTAAATTTAAAATAATTTCCAAAAAGGCTACCAAAATTTTCTCCAGCCATTGCAGACCATGTACATTTTGAATATTTCACATCGCATGACAACTTGTCATCTTGAGAATCGTGGAAAATGGCACTCAACGGAGTGTATGGAAGTACATTTTGACGCACCCATTCCATACCGGTTAAGCCTTCAAAAATTTTATCAATTCCTGACAACGAGTCATCGTTACGATATTCATGGCGATTGGAGTTGGTAGATTGTTGTAGACGTTGACATAGGGCCTTGTGAATGCATTCACTCAAATTGATACCTTTCTCTGAGAACGTTTCATCCAGACTTGTTAGCAGACCTGTTAGGGTGGTATCTGTAATTGGAAAACATATCGAAAGGGGTTTGATTGTTTGTTAGTGAAGATCTCTATAAATAATACAAACGAATGCAAAAAAGGACTGACCAAAAAATAATAGGTTCGGATCGATACATACAGGGTGAGATGAAAAAAACTGCAACCAACTTCAGACTGCTGTCATTTCAAAGCCACTCGTCCGACAGCTGTTAAAATTATTCCAGTGACAGCTCATTATATTGTTTACAAGCGTACAAATGCATTTTGGTGAGAATTTTCAAGAAAAAACGTTATTCGTGGTGGAACTCAAGGGTGATAGTGTGATTTCTTTATATTTGGCTGGAAAACCACACGTGGCTATCGTTAGAGCACTCCAGCATGTAAATATGAGTAAATCTTTTGTGTGTCGTACCATCGCTCGTTACCGTGACGTCAAGGAAGTGGATGGAACAAAACCAGCAACATTAGCAGAAATGGTTAGAAAAGTAAAGAAGCGACGTGATCGAAATCCGCGTTGCAGTGGCCAAAATATGGCTCGTGAGCAGAACATATCGCAATATTCCATTCGGCAAATATTGAAAAATGAGCTCGGGGTTAAGCCATTAAAATTCCAAAAAGTGCCAGAACTTACACCGCAACAGAAAAAAAATAGACTCAAATGATCTAAAGAGTTGCTTTGCTTGGCTGAAAGTAGTGAACTGTCGAATTTGGCTTTCTCCGATGAGAAAATATTCGTTGTCCGGCAGTTTGCAAAAAAACAAAATGATTATGTTTACATGCCAAAGAGGTAAACTGAAAATGGCCATGGTGATGGTGTGGGCCGCCATAACAGCCGATGGTCGCTCTTCGCTCGTATTAATCGACCATGGCCTCATAATAAATGCCGAATATTATCGCGAAGATATTCATGAAGGTGTATTAAAGCATTGGGCACGCAAACATTTTGGCCGCAGACCTTGGACATTCCAACATGACTCAGCACGCGCCACCCAAGAATGGTTACAAAATGAGGTTCCTCGCTTCATTTCCAGCGCACAATGGCCACCAAAATCTGCGGATACCAATCCGTTGGACTATTGTGTCTGGAGTATTTTGGAAAGCAAGGTTGGCACTATAAAATACCAAAGTGTCGATCACCTCAAGCAAGCGCTTCGCCCGGAATGGGGCCATTTATGGGAAAATCATTGTAGGAAGTAGCATGGCAACTATCCGCCGAAAATAACAGGATAACCACGAATATTCTAAGATAATAAACCAGTAAAGAAAGTTCTAAAGTCGGGCGGGGCCGATTTTATGATACCCTACACCATTTTGCTCCACATAACAATTAAAAGTTTTTATGGCTGAATTCAATCATACACCCTATGATTATAATTTAAATAAAAAAATAAATCAAAGGACAAAATATGCCGAAGCATTTCTATCTTTTAAATTCGGACTTATATTGCTCATTTGGTGCAAAATTAATTTGATATCAGATAAAGATATATCCAAATCTGAACCGATCTCGATAAAATTTGGCAAATATATTTCTGAGCTGTATTTGATATATTTCCTTGAATATCGTTGTTACGGAGTGCATATTACGGTTGTGGGTAACAACAAATCGGATGAACAATATATATGGGAGCTATAGCTATATCTGAACCGATCTTCACCAAAATTGGCATACTACCTTCTAGACTCAATTCGGTCGTGTGTGCCAAATTCCATCCCATTTGGACAAATATTAGACGTTTGGTGGACAATAAAAGGTAAATCGGACGAAGTTATATATGGGAGCTATATCCAAATCTGAACCGATCTCGATAAAATTTAGCAAAGGTATTTCTGAGCTGTATTTGAAATATTTTCCCAAATATTGTTGTTACAGAGTGCATATTACGGCTGCGGAGGACAAAAATAACAAATCGGATGAATAATATATATGGGCGGTATATCCAAATCTGAACCGATTTCGACCAAATTTGGCATATTTATTTTCAGGTCTAATTTGGTTGTATGTGCAAAATTCCATACTATTCGGGCTGATATTACACGTTTGGTGCACAATAAAAGGCAAATCGGACGAAGATATATATGGGAGCTATATCTAATTTTTGACCGATTATCTCCAATTTCAATAGGGTTCGTCCTTGGGCCAAACAAATGTTGTTTGGAAAATTTCATCTCAATCGGATAATAAATGCGACCTGCATTTTGTTCACAAGAATACATGGACAGACGGACGACATGCATTGATCAACTCAGGAAGTGATTCTATGCAGATCATCAAAAGGAACTATGGGTCTATCTCGTTTCCTTTTGCCTGTTACAAACAAATGCACAAAGACATAATACCCTGACCACCTTGTGGTGTAGGGTTTAAAAAACACAATTTTTTTCTGCGAACATTTTGAACCGCAGAGTAACATTCGGACAACGTGTTACATGGTTTCATTGGCCTTTTGAAGGCCGTAATTCGTGATATGATATTTCCGACATTTTTTGCTTTCTTTCATTCAATAAAATTTTAAAAAAAATGTTAAAAATTTGGCGTTTGACTTTGTTGCAGTTTTTTTTTATTTCACCCTGTAGATATAATATCATTCTCCAACTTACCAACTTTTTCACCCGTCGAATTTTTATAAACAACTTTAACATTTTGAAGCACCGACCATAATTCACTTTCAAAATCGTAATTTGATCTTTCCGATTTATCAGATTTCATTGTAGCTTCAAAGAGGACATATCTTCTGAAGATGTACGAAACAAGAACACTTGATCCAGCCAGAAGTCCAGTTGTAACCAATGCTGCTGTATTAATGTTGATTAGTGCCTAGAAATAATTCAAAACCATCTAAAAGTTCGAACAAATCAAACTTTATTTCATATTTACCGGTTCAATGCCATAAACATCAACTGTCCTGACAATTGGTATTTTTATGAAGGGCAAAAGAAAATCCAATCCCACAGCTAAATGTTGACCCAAAGGTTCAAAGGAGACCACATTTAATTTCGGCTTACGTTCCAGCCTGGAGATAATACTGCTTCCATTGATGGGAAAATCGTTGTAGGAAGTAGCATGGCAACTATCCGCCGAAAATAACAGAATAACCACGAATATTCCAAGATAAAGAAAAGCCACCAATTTTTCTGCGAACATTTTGAACTTTACTCCTCCTAGGGAATTTTAAAAATGAATGGAAACTCAAAATTTAAACATAGACTACACTTTGGCTGGGCTGCAGTTTTGTCAAGCTCTGTTGTATGAAATAATGATTTGTATCCGAAAGAGGCCCAAAACTACAATAGTAAGAAACAATTTGTTAGCATTTCATTTTTAAAAGTGTCGCCGAACCCATTTCCCTGCATATATGTATGTAGATTTATTTAAAGTAGCAAACCATAGACTCTAATTTTTAAGAAAATTATGCAAATTGTGTTAACATTGCGTTGCCACTTTAAATGGTGGAAAATTATGCTCGAATTAATTCGTTATTGTTGCTATTGTTTCCGTAGGCCATTCTACATGTGCTGAACATATGTTATCTTATTTACACAACGCCTCAATGTAATGTTGTAAAATTTACATTACATAAGTGTGGAATCGTACAAAAATTCAGAAATCTTAAAAATGATTTTCAATTCATTCATAGACGAATTGAATTAAATTAAATGGCTTGAGTTCGGGAACCAAGTTTGACATCGAATTTTCTTCATTATTATTTGGTATTGGAAAATTTTGATGAAAATTTTCCTAAAATTAGATGATATGAGGAATACTATTCTTACAACTTCTTGTTCATCTTTTAAACAATTCTATGCGACTCAATTATTTTCCTTCCGCATTAAAGAGACATTGCAGTGAGAAAACCTAATAAACCTCCTAGTGATCCAACGAGTTATAGACCCATTAGTCTACTAAGTAATTTGGGTAAAATTTACGAAAAAATAATTCATTCAAGAGTTTTGAATCATGCAACTGAATTGAATATAATTTCTGATAACCAATTCGGGTTCAAGAAAAGCCATAGCACTACCCATCAAATCGTCCGTTTAAAAAACAAAATACTTAAAAACAAAAATTAAAGAAAATCAACCGGATTAATTCTTCTTGATATAGAAAAAGCATTTGACACAGTGTGGCACAATGGTCTCCTACATAAATTGGTGAAGGCTAATTTACCCATCTACCTCTGTAAAATTATTGCACATTTCATAAAAAATAGATCATATGCTGTTGCAGTTATCCAAAATAGGTCTTCATTTAAAAATATTCCAGCTGGACTTCCACAAGGTTCCATATTATCTCCTACGCTATATTCCATTTATACATCGGATTTCAAACCGCCTCGTGAAATTGATACTGCATACTACGCAGACGATACAGCACTCATATCTTCTAGTAAATTAACATCGGCTCTCCTTAAAAAAATGGAGTTAAGCTTAATGGCGTGCAACAAATATTTCAACAAATGGAAAATCCAATTGAACTATAATAAAACTCAAGCAATAATATTCCCATTCAACAAGTCTCCAAAAAGAATTCCTAGAAGACAATTACGGTTCTATAGAAATGATATTAGCATCGCCGATGAAATAAATTATCTCGGAGTAACACTGGACAAAAAAACTGACATTTAAATATCATGTCCAATCATCGTGCCAGAAAAGCCTCTACAGCCTTATGGCCCTTCCTGAATAGAAGATCCAAATTATGCTTGGAAAACAAAAATTTATTATATAAAGGTGTAATACGGCCAATTCTGTCTTACGCGTCCCCTATTTGGTATAGAGCTGCGAAATCGCATATAAAAAAGTTCCAGATAATTCAAAATAAATGCCTGAAGATAATTTACGACAAAAACTGGCATTTTCCTACCTCTACGTTACATGAAGAAACAGGATATGAACTATTCGCCGATTTCATAAAACGCCTCAATGATAAATTTTTTATAAAAGTTTCGACATCTCGTTATTCTAAGATAAGAGAATGTATAGAAGAATTTTAATATATTTTGTATGACAAATTAAAATTATCAATTTGAAATTTATTGTATTAAAATTTGTTATTTTTATATAATCAATTTTAATCAATATATTTTCTAATTATATTTGAAATCTATTTTGTAGTTCAAATATAGGTTTTGTATCCTTTTTCCTATAAATCAATTAAAATCTAGTGCTCTTATTTATAAATTATTACATGAAATTTAATCCCTGTAAATCACTATGATATATCTCAAAAATTGTATTATATGTTCCTTAGAAAATAGTTATTGGATAAATAAAATTGAATTGAGGAATACTATTCTAAATAATGGCTAAAAATATCATTTCTGCAAATTGCTTCAAATTTAATTTTAAAATGTGTTAGAATGCACAAAAAAATTTCATACTTTGGTGGGTGACGTAATAATAAAATGTATTCCTTTCTATCCAAATTAGACTTTGGAAAATATTGGATGTGGGATGTTGAAAATCGGACATTGATTTCACACTCTCCGAGAGTTATTATTCAAAACGTACTCTTTTGAGAAAGGTATACAAACGAGTGGTCCGATATTGCCCATTTCGACCTGACCTTATTCTGATATAAAAGTTATATATATATCGGATTGGAACTATATCGGAAGCTCACACTTTCTACACGGATGGAAGTGCATTTGGTCGACTCCGCAATTTGCGTTTGGAATGTTTTACGAATGTTTAAAATATTGGAAGTCTTTATACCCTGTGTTGGGGGTATTATAAGTTTGAATTATGTAACACCACGAAATATTGGTTTCCCACATAGGAAAGTATATATGGATCTTCCTATCTCGCCGAGCTGAGTCGATCTAGCTATGTATCTCCGTCCGTCCGTCTGTCCATGTTAAATTGTAATCACTCTACAAGTCGCAATTATGGCCCGATCTTCACGAAATTTATAATGGAAGTGTGGCTAGGGTCAGAATAGAACCCTATTTCTTTAGGAGATGATCGCATAATATGAACCAAAAACTGAAAAAATTCCTGATTTTGCAGTTGCTTTACAGGTCGCAATTATAGACCAATCAAAGCGGAAGTTAGCATTGGGCTAGAGCTTAGTGCTGGGCAGAAGCCTGCCAATTTTGATCGTCATCGGGTATTATTTAGTGGATGAAATAGGCCACAATATTTGTGTTAACTAAAAGTCATATTTTCCATTAAACCGCGAATATTTTTAATCCCGGCGAAATCACAAATAGACGAACAGGTCGATTCTGACCGTTTCGTAGATGCCAATAGTAAATATATGGCGAAATATATACAATGTGTATATACAAAGGAAGGGGATGTTAGTTAGAAAGCTTATATCTCAAGAATGGCTGGACCGATTTTGACAAATTTTGTCAATTCAGAATGCCCTCTTGACATAAAAGTATGAAATCTAAAAAAATGGCAGAAAAATATACCAATAATAATGTTAATATAGATTTTGTAGTATTTTGTGACATTTTTTATTTTTTCATATTTTTTTTTATCGCATGCGATTTTTTCAATTTGACTTATAATATTTTGTAATATTTTTTCACCTTACAACACAGGTTGGGGATATTATATATGTATTGTTAATATCGTCCGATCCTCACGAAAATTATCACAAGGGTTGGGCTCTGAAGATGTCCGCAATATATTAGGGCTTGAAATGGACCAACAACTAAAAATTTTCCTGATTTTGCAGCCGTTATAAAGGTGACACATAGAAACCAAAGGGCACGAAATCTCGCATAAAGTTAGAGTTTCGGACAGCGGGTTGAATGGACCACTAATTTTGTGTGAAAAAATACCAGTATTACTTACAGGCGATATACGAAATACACAAAAGGCGAACTTCTGGCTTTTTTATGCTGATTTCGTTGATGAATAAAACCAAATATCGTAGACAAGCAAATCACATAGAAGAGTCTACATTTGGAGAAACAGAGGGGCTTCTTGCTTTTGGAGATGATTACAAAATTTTTAGGGGTTCAAATTAACCAAAAACAGAATTGTTTTTCCGATCGCACAATTGAAGCCAATCGACACGCCTGTGAAGAGTTTTAAGGACAGGGAAGAATTCTAGTATTTTGGATTATATTTAGCTGGAAAATGGATCACAACAACTAACAGCCCGACGGAGTGTCTAAATATTGGACAAATGTCCCTAGTCAAAATCCTAATTTCAAAAGCGAAATCTTCCAATATGGATTTGGACATAAGGGGACTTCTAACATATTGTAGCGTTGTAGGGTATAAAATAGTCGGCCCCGCACGACTATAGCCTTTGCTTACTTGTTTTTTTTTTTTTTTTTTGTTTTTCAGTTCGAAACTTATTGTCAAAATGACTTTAGTTTCTAAAACAGCAATTTTGCTCTTGTAAAATGTTAGTTGTTGTAGCTGATACATACACCTTGGAGGTAATTAAAAGCATTTATTCCATTCAAAAAATATTGGGCCCAAAAAATCAATTTTTTCCATAAAGTCCAATTTTAATAACAAAATAATTTTTTTTTTTTGAAGAAATTAATTTTTTATGTAAAAGTAACGATGCCCGAGAAAGTCCTTAAAAATATTTTTAAAAATTGTATGGCTAAAATCCGCAAAATACCGAATATCAAGTGGTACTATTATATAGGGAATATACGAAGGGGTAGACCTAGATTTTCTATTAATGGAAGTTGGTCCCCGTCGAAAATATGAAATAAATCATTACAATACAGAATATTGTTAGGTACAATTATACGGAAGCGTGAGCCATTGAAGTAAATTTCTATAGAGAAGATAGTACCCGTGCACCAAATATCTACTTTTAAATAATTCCTGTGAACAAAATCATCAAAATATCATGGTTTTCCTTTGGCAATTAATGGTGACGTAAACCTGTACAGGCTAGTATCACAGTACAGACAGTACCCATTAGGAATTAAGCAAATTTTAAACCATTCTGGTGAAAATAGAACTATGTTAAAACCGTCGAAATAGCGAACATCTGGATGTACAAAAATGATGGATTAAAACACCCAAAACACATTCCTTATGGAGGTAAAGTCCTTTCAAAAGTTTTATATAAAAATTCAAGATTTTAAAAAAAAACATCCAAAAACTTCCAATTTCTATATATTTAGAAAATTTAGAAATGGGAATATTGTCCGCTTTGGGGGGAAGTTATGATCGAAACTAAACCTATCTTATTTCGATAGTAATATTGGGATAAATAAAGTCTGGGAAAGTTTGGAAATAAATTCACAATTCATTTTTCAAAAGTTATAAAAACTTGTAGAGGAAGTACCATAAAAAGTGGACCGATAATGGACCTATTTCGCACCTATTGCTACAATGAGACTGTGCAACACCAAACATAATTACAGGGAAACCTTGGGGGAAAATAAAAGACACAAGTATTGTCGTTTTGAAAGTAAACATCACACAGTAACCTAAATATATATATTTTTTTATATTTCATCAAATTTGACTTTAAGTCAACCATGAAAGCAAATCTCTATCCTCATTAAAAAACTGCAACAAACTCAAACGCCATAATTTTTACTTTTTTTTTGAATTTTATTGAATGAAAGCAAAATATTTCGGAAATAACATAAAATTTTAGAATAAGTTTAGTTTGGTTCGAATTGGTCACCTTTGGCACGAATTATGGCCTTCAAACGACCAATGAGACCATCAGACGCTGTCTGAATGTCATTTTGCGGTATTCTGGCCCATTCCCGGCGAAGCGCTTGCCTGAGGTGATCGACACTTTGGTATTTTTTAGTGCCAACCTTGCATTCCAAAGTACTCCAGACACAATATTCCAACGGATTGGTACCCGGATATTTTGGGGGCCATTGTGCGCTGGAAATGAAGCGAGTAACCTCATTTTGTAACCATTCTTGGGTGGCGCGTGCTGAGTTTGATAGTGCTGAGTCTTGTTGGAATGTCCAAGGTCTGGTCCAATACACCCTCCAGAATATTTCGCTATAGTATTCGGCATTTATTCTGATGCCACGGTCGATTAATACGAGCGGAGAGCGAACCACGCCATCACCATGGCCAGCGCTTGAGTTCTGATGGCCAACCGAAGGTACACATTTTCAGCTGACCTCTTTGGCAAGTAACCACGTTCGTTTGTTTACAAACTGCTGGACAACGAATGTTTTTTCATCGGAGAAAACCAAATTCGGCAGTTCACCACCTTCGGCCAAGCGAAACTACTCTTTAGCTCTTTTGAGTCTATTTTCTTTCTGTTGCGGTGTAAGTTCTTGAACTTTTTGGAATTTCAATGGCTTTACCCCGAGCCCATTTTTCAATATTTGCCGAATGGAATATTGCGATATGTTCAGCTCACGAGCCATTCTTCGACCACTGCGACGCGTCGCTTCTTTACTTGTCGAACCATTTCTGCTGATGTTGCTGTTTTCTTCCGTCCGCTTCCTTGACGTCGGGCTACGCTACCAGTGTCACGGTAAAGAGCGATGGTACGGGACACAAAAGATTTATTCAAATTTAAATGCTTGAGTGCTCTAACCATAGCACACAAGTGGCTGGTTTTCCAGCCAAATATGAAGAAATCACGCCATCACGGTTTGAATTCCAATTCTGAAAAATTCTCACCAAAATGCTTTTGTACGCTTGTAAACAATATAATGAGCTGTAGGACGAGTGGCTTAGATATGATATATGTTGGTTGCAGTTTTTTTCGTCTCACCCAAGCGGATTTAGTTGTATTCAGTTTGTAGATCAAAATCCCAAAAGAGTTTTGAGTTCTTATGCCACGAACTTTTCTAGAGCCTTTGTATAGCTTTTTCGAAAAATTTTTACGAACTACCTTTAAAAAATCAACATACCAACAGGTTGACTAATATGACTCACTTATGAAACCCATGATTTTTTTAAGTAATACAAAGCTCTCTATAAAATTTACAAACTCTATATTAAATATTTCGAAATATAGCTCAAGATATTGGGGTCACCTTGGGCTATATTTCGAAATATTTAATATAGAGTTTGTACTTAAAAAAATCATGGGTTTCAAAAGTGAGTCATATTAGTCAACCTGTTGGTATGTTGATTTTTTAAAGGTAGTTCGTAAAAATTTTTCGAAAAAAAAGATCCAAAAGACCATTTAACATTTTAACACCAAAAAATTCTTCGTATTGCGGCCAGTAATATTGCCTAAGACACTCTATGCATAAAATGCAACGATTCCAAATAATATTTTCAAAACGCCGATACACGTAGCTTTTTAGCCATTGTTTTAAAATCTATGGAGGACTTTTTGCAAATAATTTTCATTGCACGGTGCAATTGAAAAATATGCAGGACTGTGTTTTACGGACTTAATATTTTTTCATGGTAGAATTAAGAAGGTAAAGTCTTCATATGTTTGCAATTTTCCAAAATTATTCATTTGTTAAACATTTTATTGTCAAAATTTATATTTACAATTCCATTGTTTATACAAAAATCAGAGAGACTGTTTTCTATGAAGTGAAATTTGACATTTGTGGAAACCCACATATGAATAACTTTTTTTAAAACGCTATTAGATATACGGCGCTATCCCTCCATAAAATGTTATGGCATTTTTACATTAGAACTTTTTGTTAACCTCCTCTATGTGGATTTATTTATGACACATGCCATGATAGAAGAATATAAGGTGTGTCTGGTTACCCTAAAATATGTAACAATTGTTACAAATTGTTACTGGAAGTCGTCTGTTAACCCGAATGTTCTGCAAAAGAGAGCGGTTGGAGAGAGAAATTTTGACAGTTCTTTCAGTGAGAGTTTGCAAATTCTTGCTGGACAAATTTCTTCTTGCAATCTCTTGCAACTCTTCTTCTTCTCATTCATCGACATTCAATCAGATGTTTTCTATTGTTTATTTATTTCTTTTTGTGATTTTAATTTGAAAATATTGTTTTGGAATTAGCAAGACTAATTTTTTTGGAGAACAACTTTACAAAATGTGAAAAACATAAATATTAATATGTAATAAGAAAATAAAATACTGTTTCCAACATTTTTAGACAAATGCCATTAGCAACAGGTTTAAAGGATTCCGCGGAATACATCAAATCTATCTTCCTTTTATTGCTCATATTTTTATTTTATTTTCAATTTCTATCTTCTTTCTATCCATGGTACAATGATATCAAGGTAGGGCTATGATACCATATGATTTTAATTTTTTTATTTTCTTGGTTAATATGTCAACTTTATTTGTTTATGTATGTGTTTTCTTTTCAATAACAAAAAAATTGTTCAGAAAATATTCAAATTCGGGTGTTTTCAAAATGTTTATTTTAACGTATGCATCGACAAAATCTAGAGTTTTTGTAGCGAAATAATCCTTTAGAGATATATAGAACATGATTTTGAAAAGAAGTGTTGACCTTTCATTCAGTTATCGCGTTTTTTCAATTATTTATTCAAAATAAATGCAACAAGATTTGATATTTTATTGTTTTGATATTAATTCTGACATTACAAGCCAAACAGGTAGACCTCTATACTTGCAATTTTTTCAAAGTTGACCTACCTTCTCTTCATTGTACCATGTTTCTATTTATCTTCCTTTTATTGCTCATATTTTTATTTTATTGTCAATTTCCTTTTTATTTATAAAACATGTGAAATTGGTGGTGATTCCTTTCGTTTAATTCTTTTAATGAAGGACAATTTGGTTTGTTTTGACAAATCAGCTGATTAGTTGCAAGCTTCTGCAGGAATACCGTCCGTTTACTTCTCGTAATTTTCTTGCAAAAGAGAATAAAACTACCTTACTCTCTCAGAAAGAAGTTGCTGGACAATTCCTGCTGGAAAAGTAACCAGACACACCTATAGGTAGACGCATCGACACAGCTGCAGGGACAATGAACTGTCAAACCAATTTTGGAAAATGTTAAAAATGTTGAATGAAAAATTATTTAAATTTGTAAAAATTGTTGGAAAAACGCGTATTATAATAACCTCCTAATGACGCCTTATAAGAAACAAATAAAAATCTACATATTTTTGAAAAGACATTTAAAAATGTTTGACATATCAATGTTCCTAAGCGTTGATGCATCTACCTGTATTTTTCTACCATGACAGATGCCAAGAAGTTGGCAATTTAAATCCACAGTACTTGTATTTATATCCGGTGAACTGTGAACGTACTACTTCTATTTCATTCAATTTAAAAAAATATGTACAAACTTTTTGTAAAATAAATAATTTATTAAAAACTATACCAACATAAATATTAATATCAAATCAAATATTTTAAGTAACTTTTAAATATTTTATTAATGTTGTAAACATGCTGAAAATTCGCTTCAACGACTTGGTATTCCAATTGCAATTCGAAAACTGACCATTACAATCTTCCCCACTTCGGGCCGCATCCACAGCTTGCTCAACAGCAGTTCCGCTTATAATGTTGCGTATAGAATCCAAACTGTGAAACAAATCATATTTAAATAAATTCACAGGGATTTTAAAACCAAACCATACCTTAAAACCCCATCCATGACTTTTTCAATATTTCCGGAAGAACTTTTCTGAACAAATTCACAAATCGACTTTTGAAAACACACACTGATGTTATTCTCATGCATTTTGGACTCAATAAATGAGAAAATATTCTGTGTGTTTGAATCTGGAGAGAATATTGAAAACATCAAAATCATTTTAAAATCAAATTTGCAATAATACTTCATACCTGTATTATCATTCTCTTGCCATAATGTAGAATTATATTCTCCGGAAGTTCGCGAGGTTTGCCGAAAAGCCGCATAGGCCGGGACAAATGGGGTAAAAAGAAATTTCAATATTATGGCAAAAATGCCACCCACAGCTATCACGGCACCGGTTGTCAATATTGAACTAACATTTAGATTGAAAAGGCTTCGTAGAGCCGATTTGGCCACGGTCATACTACGTTCGATGGGTACTCGCACAAAAGGCACTATAAATTCCAATTCAATGCTGACATCCTTATCATCGGCATGAAATTGTAATCCTCTTGATTTACGATCGCTTGATATGGAATTGGGTATAAGATTAGAGGTCCTCGAAGCAGCTGAGGTCATTGTGGCATAATTACGCGGTTCAAAATCCCGAAAACGTAACAAATTTGAAGAATTTGTATTCGTGGTGTAAAAGGCACGTCGAGTAACACTGCTCGTAAACTCATAGTTGTTAAAGTTCACAAATAACACCGACGCCATGAGCAACATCTGGAGAGCGTAGTAACGCTTCTGGTAATGATGCACTGTCAACATTGCAACTGTCACTTTTTGATATGCGTACCTCACTCGACACTGGTTCCAATCGCGTTAACAAACAACCAACATCTGAGCCAGTCTTGAGGCTAAAGTGCTTTTATTAAAGCTCATCTATGGTGGATGTGGTGGTGGGTGGTAATTGCCCAAATCCATTTGGAGCTACCAGAGAAATGTGAAATAAAATAGCAAGAGGGGAATGACATTATTTTCACGCTTTGTTAATAAACAAATTTTGAATTTCCATTTTAACGCCATTGATGCATGCCGCCTCCACAAACATTATGACACTAAAGTGAGCAAATTTATATCATAGCATCTTGAAAAAGAAGCCAGTAGGCCTAAAATATTTCTTTGCATTGTTGTAATTAGTGTTTGAAACCAAATTTTTTGCCTTTTTCATGCTTCTTATTTTATTACGTTCAGTGACCTTGAACTCTGCTAGAAATGTATACATATTTCAAAATTGTTGCTGTTAATTGAAATTAATATTAAAACAAATTCAATTGACTACAAAAAAAATCATCAGATCGGGTCTCTAGAAATAAATCCATTAAAAAATGGTAAAAATATGAGAAAATTTGCCGTCTTTACACTCGAATTTTGAGATGAGAGTGCAAAACAAAAAATAATTACAGAGGAAACCTTGTGGGTTATGAAAGTATAGCTAAAAACAGAAGACACGTGTGTCGGCGTTTTTAAGATTTGTATCGCAGTGTAACCTAAATACAGGGTGAGATGAAAAAACTGCAACAAACTTCAGACTGATGTCATTTCTTATCCGACAGCTGTAAAAATTATTCAAGTGACAGCTCATTATATTGTTTACAAGCGTACAAACGCATTTTGGTGAGAATTTTCCAGAAAAAAAGTTATTCGTGACGGAATTCAAGCTTGATAATGTGATTTATTTGTATTTGGCTGGAAAACCAGCAAGTGGCTATCGTTAGAGCACTCCAGCATTTAAATGTGAATAAATCTATTGTGTCTCGTACCATCGCTAGTTACCGTGATACTGGTAGCGTAGCCCGACGTCAAGGAAGTGGACGGAAGAAAACAGCAACATCAACAGAAATGTTTCGAAAAATAAAGAAGCGACTTGATCGAAACCCGTGTCGCAGTGGCCAAAAAATGGCTCGTAAGCTGAACTGTCGCAATATTCCATTCGGCAAATATTGAAAAATGAGGTAAAGCAATTCAAATGAGGGGTAAAGCTATTCAAATTCTAAAAAATGCAAGAACTTACACCGCAACAGAAAGAAAATAGACTCAAAAGAGCTAAAAAATTGCTTCGCTAGGCCGAAAGTGGTGTACTGACGAATTTGGTTTTCTCCGATGAGAAAACATTCGCTGTCCAGCAGTTTGTAAACAAACAAAATGATCGTGTTTAATTGCCAAAGAGGTCAGCTGAAAATGTGCATCTTCGGTTGGCCACCAGAACTCAAGAACCCCTCGGCCATGGTGACGGTGTGGGCCGCCATAACAGCCGATAGTCGCTCTTCGCTCGTATTAATCGACCGTGGCATCAGAATAAATGCCGAACATTATCGCAAACATAATATGGAGGGTGTATTAAAGCCTTGATCACGCAAACATTTTGGCCGCAGACCTTGGACATTCCAACAGGACTCAGAACCATCGCACTCAGCACGCGCCACCCAAGAATGGTTACAAAATGAGGTTTCTCGCTTCATTTCCAGCGCACAATGACCACCAAAATCTTCGAATACCAATCCGTTGGACTATTGCGTCTGGAGTATTTTGAAAAACAAGGTTGGCACTAAAAAATGCCAAAGTGTCGATCACCTCAAGCAAGCGCTTCGCCGGGAATGGGAAAAAATACAGCAGAGTAACATTCGGGCCGCTTGTGACGGTTTCATTGGCCGTTTGAAGACCATAATTCGTGCCAAAGGTGACCAATTCGAACAAATCTAAACTTATTCTAAAATTTGATGCTATTTCCGACATTTTTACTTTCATTCAATAAAATTAAAAAAAAAATGTAAAAATTATGGCGTTTGACTAGTTGCAGTTGTTTTATCTCATCCTGTGTATGACCAAATTCCACCAACCCCTCCATATTTTTAGAAATTTTCGGATTTAAAATTCTTAAATTCGTCTCATAGTAGGTAAAGTTCGGGGATTATTTTCTTTTTTCTTTTCTTTTTGGTCCATTATCAAAAATATGAGTAAAAACTATATTTAAGTGTGATCATGTGAATTTATACGAAATTATCTTACCAAATACCATTTTAGAAGGATGATTTCAAAGACAAAAATGTTCTTCAAAAATTTCGCTGTAAGTCACCCAAAGAGAGGAAATCTCTATTTTCTTTATATACCAAGGAGAAAGATGAAAATGTTTATAAGTGCGGTTGTAAGGTTAAGAAGATTTTCCAAAAGAATTTTAGTTTTATGAAATTCGTTGGTTTCTCTTCTATTGAGCTTACGATATCTTCACTTGGGTAAAAAAAGTTTTTTTTTTGCAGTAGAAGTTATTTTTAAAATAACTTCCTGGGGGGAATATGCCAGACAAAATACAAGGGAACTAATGAGGATTTGTGGCTCTTTCCGAAACCTAGGTATTCCCTGCCCATCGTTACCATCGTTCTCCACTAATAAACAAACGTTGTTTTTATAATAACAACAATAAAGGGATTGAGCCTGACAATTTTGCAACAACAATATAGCTCCCAAATTTATCTTCGTCCAATTTGCTTTTTTATTGTGCACCAAACGTATAATATTAGCCCAAATTGTATAGCATTTTGCACATACGACTGATATTAAGTATGCCAAATTTAATTAAAATCGGTTTAGATATAGCTATAGCTCCCATATAAATTGCTTATCCAATTTGTTATTTTTGTCCTCCTCGGCCGTAATATGCACTCTGTAACAACGATATTTGGGTAAATATATCAAATACAGATCAGAAATATCTTTGCTAAATTTTATCGAGATCGGTTCAGATTTGGATATAGCTCCCATATATATCTTCGTCCGATTTGTCTTTTATTGTGCACCAAACGTATACTATTAGTATTTCAAATTTGTTGAAAATCGGTTCGGATATAGCTATAGCTCCCATATAGACTGTTGATTCGATTTTTTAAATTTGTCATCCACAAGCGTAATATGCACTCCGTTAAAGCGATATTTGTCGAGAACGGCTGAACTGATTTCGACAGTTCTCATTAATTCACAATGGCCTCTTGGCAGGAAAGAAACAACGTCTAAAAAATCGCATAAAAATATCTCTCTAAAGATGAAAATATTGATTTTGTAACATTTTTTATATTTTTTCAATTTTGTCACATTTTTGGCATATTTTCATTTTGAATTAAACATTTGGTAATATTTCTACAGCTAACAAAACTAAGTAGTTAGGATATCAGGATATCATATACAGATCGCATTTATGGCCCGATCCTAACGAAATTGCATGGGGATCAGATGAGGGTCAGAATAGAAGCCTACTCTTTTTGGAGATAATCGCCATATATTTAGGGGTTGAAATGGACTGCAAAATTGTCAGCAGGTCGTAATTATTGCCCGATCCTCACGCACATTTGAATGGGGGTTACGAGCACTTCTGACAATTTCGTTAACGCTGATTTCGTTGAAGAATATAGTCAAATGTCTGTATCTCATATAGATGCGTTTCAGCCAAAAACCAATAATAAATGTTAATCTTTTGCCACTTCTGAGAGATTATAGGTCTTTGGGAAATATTGGTTCCAGATCTAGGAAGACCATCTAAGTGCAACATCTACCAATAAATTGGAAATGAGCAAATTAGTTTAAGTTGCTATTATTCGAAAATTAGAGAACGAAACCTGATGGTTTACTTTTATTATTTGTCACAATATATTGTGAATTCTTCCGAGTATCTCGCCTATATAAACTGTATCGTTTATTATAGTGTTGTAGGGTATTCAACGGTCGGCCCCGCTCGACTGTAGCCTTTGCTTACTGGTTTTTTATTTATTTTTTTTTTTTTTTGGAGGAAAAAAAATTATTCAAATTATTTTAAATTTGGTTGCAAAATAAATGCAAAATTTCGACGTGAATAAGTAACAAATGGTACAATTTTATGATAAAACTGTATTGTCCTACTATTTTACATTCAATCTTGCGGAAAACCCCGAAATTCCAATCTTGTTTCGCGGGATTCTCCCAATATAAGGATTTTGTTAGAAAAATCAGAAATAAACAAAGCCAACTGTTGCATACTTAAAAGTCTATTTGACACTATAAGTCTCCAGCATAGAGTTGCATTTTTCTAGTTTTTTTTTTTTTAAGTTGAGCAACCTTTCTTATTGAGCCATGGGTATACCCATGGTACAATAAGGAAACGGGTCAGCTTCGTATAACTACAACAATACTGCTCTGAAGCTATGCCCGCTTGTTTTCACTTATTTGGTATTTATTCTCATTTTTAAAATGATTTCAATATCGTGAACAATGAATTTGCTTTTAAAAATATGATCCAAACTGTTCAATTTTTCAATTCCATGGCAAAATTGGTTGATGTCTTAAATACACGCCCTGCCCTGTACTTTTCTTTCAATAATTGATTTTGATAATATTCTGTCTGTCGGGTACCCTTTGGAAAAAGTTGTAAACAGCTGCTAGCTCTGCCTTACCTTTTTTTGTACCATGGGTTAAAAATATGCTTTGGTAACCTTTGCACTGCCTCAAATGTATAATTATTTATTAAAAATATTTTTTTAAAAAAGCTTTTTTCATTATATTCTTTTGGATTTAATTTTGATTTTTTTTATTATTTTCTGAATATTAATTTAACAAATACGAGTATCACGCAAACAGACATCACCACAACAAGTCAACGGCTGACAAGGAATAATACAGGGATCGACGGGCTTGGCACGTCTATCGACCATGCAAATCAAGGGTGGAGCCACACCGGCTAATTCCCGCAGACGTTTCTTTCTGCAAAATGTATAGCCAATTTTTAATAATGTAATACAATAAAAATTCTTACTGATGTTACCTCTTCTCAGCCAATTCAGCTGGTGATAATTTACGACCTTTGGATTTATTCAAATATTTCATCATGTCGACGGTGCCACCACCTGGAAGATTAGGTTTATTTGCAGAACCCTTGGCTCCAGCAACGCCCTTGCCTTTACCACCCATTCCTGCGGACCATCTGCCAGCGGCACCACCACGACCACCGGCCTTACCGCCACCTCCTCGGCCACCACAACCGCCATAGACTCCAGCCGTTGGCACCGCTCCTGGGGTATAACCCCCCGGACCATAGGGTCCAAAAGCTTTGCCAAAACGCTCTCCAATCGCACAATTATATAATTTCATATACTTATTGGGCTCCTTGGGATACAGCGGCGGCACATTCCAATCCTGTTCATCGTACTGACTGCCAGTATTGACAAAATTACGTTTCTTAAGCCTTTCCGGTTTTATCACCCCAGCTGGGGGTGTAACACCAAAATCAAATTCCGTTTCACTCTCCGTTGTATCGGATAGTACCAGGCTATCATTACACAAGGGCAGTTTCCTATTCCGTGCCTCTTTGTTACACTGATATTCCAGACGTTTCTTATCCAAGAAACTGCGACAAAAACAATCCACAATGGGTTTGTGGCATGTGCATTTGCTGAAGCCCATCCCCTTGAGGCATTTCTTAAGTTTACGCATTTCCATGGCCAGAGGATTTTTAATAATTTTAAATTGTATAGGTTGCATATTCAGATATGGATCGGCACATTCTTTGAGTGCCTCGGGGTCCTTAAGTGGCCGCAGGGTTATGAAATATTCACCATTCTTTTTACAAATATGCAAAGTGGGTTTTTGTAGCAATTCTTCCTCTTCTTCTCCACCTTGATTACCATAGCCATTACGGCGACGTCGATAGGAATATTGGGATACCCTCAAAGTATCTGCTGGGAAATCACGTAGGAAATATTTCATTAACTCCTTAATGGGTTTGCGTATGGCACCAGGTTTCCAACCGGCCCTTATGCCCTTGGCTTCTACATTCCACAACCAACCCATATTGGGAGGGACATTTTTACGACCAGCAAAACCATTGATGCAGGTTTTGTGTCCCACCTGTACGCCCGGATATTTGCGGACCATGCGGTAATTGTAGCTGAAACAAAGAAAAAACGTCGTTAAACTTCGTCTGAATCGTACTTTTATCCCTTCCATCATGTAATTTCTCTAAAATTTGAAAGTTAAATTACGCTACGAGACACAAAACAAGTAAAAAAGAAGCTAAGTTCGGCAGGTCCGAACTTTTAATACCCTCCACCGTTTGGATGGAATTTGAAAATTTAAAAAAAAAAACTTCCGGAAACTACCACTTAATTGAAAACTGTTATATAAAGACCATACAAAGACGTGGACCTGCTTAAGAAATTTTATGTCATAGGCTGTAGTACCCATTACGAACTTCAAATACCAAATTTGAAACAATTCCGCTGAATAATATCGCTAAAATCATCAAAATACCGAATATCGGGATGTACCGTTATATGGGGGTTATACGATAACGTGAACCCACATACGATTTTTTTGTCATAGGCTGTCGTATCTATTACGAACTTTAAATACGAAATTTGTTACAATTCCGGTGAATAATGTCGCACAAATCATAAAAATACCGAGTATTGACGAAGACGTGGACCTGGAAACAAAAATTTTTGTCATAGGTTGTAGCACCCATTGCGAACTTCAAATACGAAATTTTGAAATAATTCCGGTAAAAAATGTCGCTAAAATCATGAAAATACCGAATATCGGAAACTACCGTTATATGGGGGCTATACGAAGATGTAGACCTGCACACGATTTTTTTCCATAGGTTTTAGTAAACGCTAAGATCTCCCAATATGAAATTTGAAACGATTCCGGTGAAAAATTTTGCTGAAATCATCAAAATACCGAATATCGGGAACTACCGTTATATGGGGGTTATACGAAGACGTGGACCTGCATACACTAATGTTTGTCATAGGCTGTAGTACCCATTACGAACTTCAAATACGAAATTTGAAATAATTCAGGTAAATAATATCGGTGAAATCATGAAAATATCAAATGTCGGGAGGTACTATTATATGGGGGCTATACGAAGACGTAGACCTGCATACAAAAATATTTGTCATGAGCTGTAATACCGATTACGAACTTTAAATATAAAATTTCAAATAATTCCGGATCCAGAATATATACACTTTATAGGGTCTATTATAAATATTTCGAGGAGTTACAAACGGAATGACAAAGTTAATATATCCTCAATAGAATGGTTATAAAAATCAATTTTTTCAATAATTACAGATAAATTAGGCTTTTTATGACAGTAGATCTAAAAACAAAAGACTTTATTGAAAGTTTACATCGCAAAGTACCCTAGACAATTATTTTGGTCGACAATTTGAACACATTTAAAAGGACGAATCGCTAAATTCTAAATGTCTGCATCAAAGTTGTCAAAGAACCGACAATATTTCCAAATTTTTGATTAAACTTTAAGACAGAAATCTTCTCGACGTTGTTTTCAATATGACTCAGAAGATTTTATTAAATATATTCTTTATACTTACGCTTTGCCACGGCAAACTTTTCGCGCGCTTTGGAAATTCTTCACCAAAAACTGCCTTCTTTCCGACTCATCCACTTGACCTTTGGCTTTTGTTCGGCAATTCAGTTTCTCTTTATTTTGTTTATCACACGCCCTTTGGTTGCCCTTGCCACGATTTAATTCTCTTTCACATCGTTCATCTTTTTCGAAATCTTTCTTCTTTATATCGCGTATATCATAAAGATCCTTCAGCTCGGAGAAGACCCTCGTCAAATGTGGACGACAATCCTTGCTATTGGTTTTACAAATATTATATAGTTCCGATGATTTTGTTTCACATTTTCCACATTCATCTTCTTTGCGCTGGCCATCGGATTGAAATACATCTGCACAAAGTTTTCGTATACGACAATAGGCGCAAACCTTCTTCGGGTTACAAGTGCAGCGACAGTGGGATTTTGACTGGTCTGTTTGTGGACAGTTCTTATCAATTGGGTCTTCGTCGTCACCACATGAGGATCCTTTTTCCATATAGCCGAGTAGAATTTCATTGGCAGTCAGCTGATCGTTATAGGGTTTCTCATCAAATTGCGGTATGGGTTTATATCCACATTTTGGACATGCCGCCAATTTCGGTAACCATGAGAGATTTTCTTTACATAGAGGACAGCACCTGAAGATAAAAAGGATAATAAAGTATTTTTAATGAAAAATTAGTTTCTTTCTGATTTCCCTGATACACCATCTCGTAATTCTTGAATATGATTATGCTGACATGTAGCTAACCTACATTGAGCAGCTAGCCTTCTTTAAAACAAGACCAGTTGGTCTTCATTGACCGACCTTCAATAAAAAATATCTGTGGGTATAGAATAATCGACACTGTCTTCTTTTAAAACCTATAGACTTTTATTTCAGAACCAATGTTTATTTTCGTTTCATACCTTGACTGAACAGGAACATTTTCGATTAATTCTGGCACCGAATTCTTATGACAAAAATTCACAATATTTTCGGGTGCAAAGAGACCCTCATCCGAACAAACATTTGACTGCGACATTTGGCTATGGTTATCTAAAAACAGGAAAATAAAGTGTTTTTCTATTTTAAAATTTCAGAATTTATATTATTACAATTATTCGTTGGGTTAAAATCGGTACATGAACTACTGGCGACCGGTTTATTCGTGTTGCACGAAGTTAAGCATGGATCAGGATGGGCTTGTGTTTCCGCTTTCTTCGAACAGCAGGGTGAGGGTTTTGGTTTACCCATTAGGGAATCGATTAGCTTTTGGTATTGATTGGTGACCTTCTATATAAGGTAGTAAAAGAAAATTGAAATAAGAAACATATTCAATTATTTAAAACCCATATTTGTAGTGGCCAAAATGTTGGTGTTTGAAATATATTTTTAATTTGGCCACTTTCCTGTGGGATTTTCCTATATAGGAATTTAAAATTCATCTTCCCATTATATTCGCACCACCACTTACTTTCAATTCCCCACAAGCTGGATCCAATGTATTCAGTATATCAGTATTAGGTACAGTTTTCCCATTTACAGAACGAAAATTGGACAGATCCAAGCAAGTAGGATGCAATGCTTTATCCGAATCGGTGGCAGGTATCAGGCCAACCTGGGAACAGCAACAGGGATTTTTATCTTCACCCACCACAAATAAAATGTCATTGGGATCAATTATTTTATTTGCGGCCTTGGCAACATCTTCTCGAGGTCCACACACATCCTCGTCGCTGTAAAAATCCATGAATAAAATAAAATATTCAATAAATTCATAAAACAGAGATATACTCACTTCCATTCCGAACATTTTGTTTGTAGCCTCACAATCACCTCAATCGTTCCACATTTCTTATCGGTATCACAATTACGATATTCCGATTCAAAGACATGTGTCAACTCTCCCATACATGCAGGATCGATGAGACAATTTAAAAAGCTCTCCGGCCAATCCACAGCGGCAATACCCAAATCCTTTCCGGCATGTTTTATTTTCAATTTCAATTTATTTTTCATTAAATCATCTTTGAGCACACTGGGATTTTCGATAAATTCAAAACTTTTACCCGACTTGAATTCAATGACATTAATACGGCTTGAAGTAATTTTCAGATCTTCTCTATTGAATGTTGCCTCCACCACCAGCAAGGAGGGATCTTTGTCCACCAATTGTTTGGCATCCTTGTCGCTTATTTCCAAACGTATAACAATTATATCGACAATATAACCCACACCTCCAGCGACATTTGTCGCAACTCCCGGGGTAGCCGTCAAATTTAATGGATTTTCGTTGGTATTCATTTTCAGATTTTATTTAAATTTTCAAACCAGAAAAAAATAAGTTTGCCAATGATTGAAAGAAAATTTTGATTTTGTAAATTATACTACAAAATAAAAATATTTCAAATGAAGTTTTATTTCGAAATTGATTACGATTTCAATGCATCTACATTGAACTGGTCTATCTAGACAACTGAATCATTGTCATCACTGAGGTGTCTACAATAGTCACACCTGGCAATATATAAAATTTTTGGATAATTATTCAAATATATTTCGAAAATTTGTGCTTCGTTTCCAGAATAGCAAGAATGTAAAACTTTTCACGGCAACTTTTTGCCATACCGATTATTCCTTTATGATATTGAAGAAAATTGCACAAATAGTAGATTCTTGCAGTATTTGGAATTGAATTAGTGCGTTTGTTCTGCCAATCGGGTTTTGCACCCACTCCAGACATAAACAAATAACAAATTTAAAGCTTTAAACTCTTTACCGGGTGTCCTCAATTGATGAATACAGACATATTTCTCTATTTTTCTCTGTTATAGTTTTTTTCTGGATCAAAAACGCATTTGAGCCTACTAAGGACATATTAACGCTCATTTCCAAGCAGGGATTTGAGTATTGAGATTGGTATTAGTATTTGGTGATTATGTCTCAAAAACCACTTTGTTTATAAAGGAAAACATATTGGATTCATTCCTAATATTTTCCATGCTAATATAACCACTACAAAAAACTACAGGGAGAGATAAAAAAAACTGCAACAAAGTCAAACGCCATAATTTTTACAATGATCGACATTTTCTTTTTTTTTAGTGGCAAAATACTCCAGACACAAAAGTCCAACGGATCTGTATCCGGAGATTTTGGTGGCCATTGTGCTCTGGAAATGAAGCTAGGAACCTAATTTTGTAACCATTATTGGGTGGCGTGAGCTGAGTACGATGGTGCTGCGTCCTGTTGGAATGTTCAAGGTCTGCGGCCAAAATGTTTCCGTGCCTGGACTTTAATACACCCTTCAGAATATTTTCGCGATAATATTCGGCATTTATTCTGATTCCACGGTCGATTAACACGAGCGGAGAGCGACCATCAACTGCTATGGCGGCCCAAACCATCAGCATGGCCAGCGCTTGAGTTCTGATGGCCAACCGAAGGTGCACATTTTCAACTGACCTCTTTGGCAAGTAAACTCTTTAGCTCTTCTGAGTCTATTTTCTTACTCCTGCGGTGTAAGTTCTTGAACTTTTTGGAATTTCAACGGCTTTACCCAGAGCTCATTATTCAATATTTGCCGAATGGAATATTGCGATATGTTTAACTCTCGAGCCATTCTTCGGCCACTGCGACGCGGGTTTCGATCAAGTCGCTTCTTTACTTTTCGAACCATTTCTGCTGATGTTGCTGTTTTCTTCCGTCCACTTCCTTGACGTCAGGCTACGCTACCAGTATCACGATAACGAACGACGGTACGAGACACAAAAGATTTATTCACATTTAAATGCTGGAGTGCTCTAACGAAACGAAACGAAATATATATAAATATACTATCACGCTTGAATTCCATCTCAAATAAATTTTTTTCTGGAAAATTCTCAACAAAATGCTTTTGTATGCTTGTAAAAAATATAATTAGCTGTCACTGGAATAATTTTAACAGCTGTTGGATGAGCGGCTTAGAAATAACAGCAGTCTGAAGTTGGTTGCACTTTTTTCATTACACCCTGTATGTATTGATATATGTTTGTGTATGTATCGAAATAAATGTGATGAAATTCTGTTAGGTCTTACATTCTAGGGTATTCTATTCCCCCCAGACAAAAATAGTTCGCAATTGAACCATTATCAGCAACAAACCATAAACAATATTACTACTCAATTCCAATATCAGTACCTATGATGTCGTGCCCCCAATACCAATTAACTTTGATGTTAATCAGTTAAGATAATATTTTTAAGAACTGCAACCTTTGTCCCCCAAAATAATGCACACAATTAACAATGTGTGCACAATACTTCGAAACCATTGACCAATTGATGATAGTTATTGTTTTTGTTTATAACTAAATAATGAGTTTATTTTTCTTTTGTTTTGTCATTATAAATTATATGTATGTGTAGAATTTTTTTTTAACATAATAAAACAACACAGTTGCTTTTTTTCATTTAAATCTTTTGCTTATAATGATATACGTTAAGGTCAAACAGAAAAAATCAAAAAATAAGTTATATGAAATTAAAAAAAAAATTTAAAGAGCTGAATTACAAAATTGCACTACACAAGTTTCCATTTTTTGTTGCTAAGTTGTTGTGTTATCTTTTGCCTAACATTATAAATATTTTTAACAAGTGATATAATGCATTGTTTCTGAATGAACACTTTTTCCCAACAATAGGTATTTTCTTTTTTGATGTAATGAGAATTGTAGATCTTTTTTGGTGGTTTAATTTTTGTGGGTAATTTACTTCTTGGCATTGATGATGTCAATGAATTCGGGTTTCAATGAAGCACCACCAACCAAAAAGCCATCAATATCGGGTTGGGCAGCCAATTCTTTGCAGTTGGCAGCTGTTACAGAGCCACCGTATTGGATGCGTAGACTATCAGAAACTTCCTTGGAGATATTTTCGGCCAACCATTTGCGGAGATAGGCATGGACTTCTTGGGCCTAAAAATAAATAAGAAACATATTATTAATTGAGGTATATTTAAGGTTTTATTTTTTGTTATATTATTATTTAAAAGTAAAATCTGGCAACGTATTTATCGATATTTAATTAATTTAATTGTAAGGTTTTTTGTTTACTAATTTAAAAGCGAAAACAAACACCGAACCTAATTGTTGGCAAAAAGCCAAATTTTACTAAAATACTATTTTCCTTTGTTTGTGTATAAATTTATTTAGATTATACCGACTATGCGGTAATCGTACAATTGTCAAATAGTTTGTTATAAAATATCGTCATTCTAAAAAAACTTATAACAATGAACATTAAGGTGGGTCATGGTTTGGCATTAAAATGGACCTAAGGGTAACATTACCAAATATGGGAAGAGGGTTCAAGTACAAAACATTTTCCTAACTAATTTCCTTTCCCAACCCAATCAACAATATTATTATTACAGCTAACTCGATTAGAAAAATAACTAAATTCGTTTTGAATAATTGTAATTTTTAAATCGCCACGATCGGGATGTACTGCTAAATTTAGCATTCCCAACAATTGAAAAAATATTGACAGACTTCTTTCAAGGGAATAAAAAATTATTAAAATCCCAGCTAATGAAAGCATCGAAAATATGAAGCTCTCAAACCACACGTTACAATGTGATCTGAAAGTCGTAATTGTATCTACTTCAATTAATAAAAGTGCCTGAATGCCAGATGATCATAAATCGGGTAGTTACGACTTTTATGGAACAAATGAAATCAAAATGACAAACTGCATTTATTTTGAAAATCTGAAATTGTGTCTGTACCGAAAATCAGGACGTATTGTTAAAAATGGGTGTGATTTTAAATGGAAACCGAAAAGACAAACAACATCCCATTTAGTCGGCAATTGTGGCTAGAACCCTCAAAATAGTGAACCCATATAACACATTTCAAAACTTCATCTACTAGCAAAGAAGTAACATTTTTGCTGAAATTTGTTTACTTACGTCAATTACATTGAATATAAGTAGGAGCATTTTTAAAAGTTGGAAGCAGAATGACAAATTTAATATATAGTCTATATCATATTATTAATGTCTACCTATATATTACTTCACAGTTAAGAAGTCCTTGCTGGTACACCCAAGGTCATTTCAAAAGTCATAGAATCATTGAATTCGCTCAGAACTCAAATAACACATCCTCGACTGTAAAATTGCAAGAAATTCATATTTCACTTTAATACCTACTATCAAAGATTCAGACTAGCAATACAATCCTGTCTTATCATTCGAAATGGTACAACAAATTGGTATACACACAACCAAATCTAACATGGTTCTGCATAACAAACTCTTATCAATCTTGCAAATAAAATTTTCAAGTCAACTTACTTGTTGGGGAGTGGCAGTTTTGCCGGTACCAATAGCCCAGACAGGTTCATAGGCCACAACTACATTGGTCCAGTCCTTAATGGTCTTGGCATAGGCAGCCATTTGGCTAGCAACAACAGCCTCGGTTTTGCCAGCTTCACGTTCCTCCAATTTCTCACCAATACAGGCAATGACCTTTAAACCTTCAGCCAAAGCATGGGCAGCCTTTTCGGCAATCAATTCATCGGGTTCACCGAAAACATGACGACGTTCAGAGTGACCCAAAATAACCCAACCAGCACCGACATCCTTCAACATGGCTGGTGATACTTCACCGGTGAAGGCACCCTTGGGAACTTTGTAGCAATTCTGTCCGGCAACATTGAATTTGCAGGGCAACAAATCGCGAGCAAAGTTGATGTAGACGAAGGGGCAGCCCAAAACAATTTCAACATTTTCATCCAAGGTGGCACCGCAAAGGGTTTTACACAATTCGGTGATAGAGGCCTTGTCACCGTTCATTTTCCAGTTACCACCAACACAGAATTTGCGAGCCATGTTTGCGCTTGTTGTTTTTTGGTTTGTTCTTCGGGGCTAGTGAGAATACAGCGAGATTTCTGTAAAACAATTCGGTGGAAAATAATGTAAAAAATTATTAGATTTCAAATAACGAACTTTTCTCCCTTTCACTTTCTTTTAGTACCTTTCTCGATTATTGCTTTTTGGCGAATGATATGACCTTAGGATAACCTTGTTGTAGTTCAAAATAGGGATCCTGCAGTCGAGTTTTGTCTATCGATTGCTTGATGTTTAGAAATATCAAGTAATCGACTTTATGCTATCGCTATTATGCTTTTTAAACGAGCTAGGGAATGCTCGAATGGATATTTTTAATTAATCAAAAAAATTGGGTAAACAAATAAAAAATGTATATTTTTGTTTAAAGTCGTCTAGGGATCATGTCTTGGGAATTGTAAAATAACATTATGAGTAAATTACACATTTCAGTCATTTTTTTTCTAAAGAAATGGTGCTTCTATTAAAACAGAAGTAATCAAAACAATTCAAATCTATAATCGATAGATAGAAAAGGGTTGCCATTTTCTTGAGTAACGGCTCTGTTCAAGAACTTGCAATAATCTACTATTTTTGAATTTTTTTCGATATCAGAAAGGGAAAATCATTTATCGTAGTAAATCGTATGGAACAGACCATACAGGGTGAGATAAAAAAAGCAACAACGTCAAACGCCATAATTTTTACATTTTTTTTTATTTATTGAATGAAAGCAAAAAATTTCGAAAATAGCATCAGATATTAGAATAAGTGCCAGCCTTGCTTTCCAAAATACTCCAGACACAATAGTCCATCGGATTTGTATCCGGAAATTTGGTGGCCATTGTGCTCTGGAAGTAAAGCGAGGAACCTCATTTTGTAACCATTCTTGGGTGGCGCGTGCAGAGTGCGATGGTGCCGAGTCCTGTTGGAATCTCCAACACATTAGAAATGACAGCAGTCTAAAGTTGGTTGCAGTTTTTTCATCTCACCCTATATATTGGATATCCATTCTTGCATTATGCTATGTTCTCATTGCGCTTCACGTTCGATCACGAATTATGTACACGAATTAACCCGTTCATACGGCATGATTCGTAATTCATAGTAAAAAATTCCTTTTTTCAAAAATTTTGTTTGTCGATTTAAATGGGAATTTATACGAAAATACATAAAATTCTCACTAATATGAATAGAAGAAATTATTGTTTCCCCCCAAAAATTTATTTTATCATTAATTTTACAATTTCTATTCATGTTTTCAACTTTTTGTGTAAATGTTGACATTTTGAACATATTTTTGTATTTTTAAATTCTGCTAGAGAGACACTTGTCAAACATTTTTTCTGTCGATACAAACATTGCCTCTTTTGTTTGCAGTTTTTTGAGGAAATTTCAACTCGTAGACAAAATGCGCACCTCGAATGAGAGAGAAAACAAAATTTGCTTTCGTTTGAATGTACAGACGCCATTTAACATTTTAGTTTTCATTCATAATTTTCAGTTTTCCCAAAAATTTTTAAAATTTCATTAAATTTTCCTATTTTTAATTTTTAAATGTCATAATTTATTTTTTCGATATATTCTCGTTTGTTAGGTGACGTTAGATGACGCATATTTCATCTTAGTTCTGAGAGTGATTTGAATGGAACAAAGAACAAAAATCTTTGTTCACTCACCAAATTTTGTGTGGGGAATAAGGTAGATATTTCTTAATTAATGGTCGAACAAGGAATATAGAGTGAATCACGTGCCATGTGAACTTATGCTAAGTTCTTCTTCGGTTTTGTTAGGTGCTGCCTCAACCAATGGTCTGAATCGTAGTGTTGCTCGGAAGTATTCCATAAAGGTCGTTGATTCAACCTCCAGATCACGTAAAGATTTTATGTCAACTGTTGAACATTTGTTCAAAATTCTAAACCATCACTTTTGTTTTGTTATTTTATTACTTTTGTTTTTGAATTTGACACTAATTGTGAAGAAGACTTTTAAGTTTCTTCAACGACAATGTGGTTCTTGTAAAATGTTAGTTGTTGTAGCTGATGCAGACACCATGACTATTGCTCATGAACAAAATTTAATTGTTTTCGACATCCAATATTAAATTTATAAATTACAACACGACACAAAAATATATTTTGTCGTTTTTATATTTTTTTATAATAATTTTCTTTACAATAAATACAATAATATATTTCTAAAATGTACGTACATTTACAACAATTACAAAGCATGTATAAAATTTTCGTTAAAAAAAATACGAAAATTGTATCTTATTATTTCATTAAAAAAATACTGTACAAACAATAGAATTTCTTATATTGAAAAGAGAGAGAGAGAGAGAGACAACCACAATTTGTTAGTTTTTCTTTTCCTTCTTTTTCAATGAAACTGAAACAAAAGGCCTAGTTATACATAGGGATATAAATATATTTATAAAGATACAAATTTTACACTATAGCACTACACGGCATTTGTTGTAGCAATCCTTATGGAATTGTTCATGTGGTTGTCCACAATTCATTTGTGAGAAGCAAAACAGGATAGACATACTCTAACCGGCTTTCCCACCTGACCATTTTCATTGAGCAACGGCAGTGTGTGATCGGAACAGGCTTTACAAAATATCTCACCACAGCTGCGACAGTGATGTTTTCGCCGTGTTAAATTGAATTCTTTTCGACAACCAGTACAGTGAGTAGTAATGGAATCGGGAGCCCACAGGCCAGTACTTGCTCCCGGCGTTGTAGGCTGTTGTACTTCTGCACCTCCACTTCCACCACTCACCAAGGAGGACATGGAATTATTTAACATATCCTGCTGTAATTTTTCCTTCTCCTTCAGTTCGGAAACCTTAAGTTTTGATTCACTTAACTGTATGCCCAATTCTTCGAGTGTTATTTGTGCCTCCGACCATTGATGTCGTAGTCTTTCTAGTTCGGGTTTAACATGTCTAGTTGATTGTACTTCGGCATTAAGTTCCTTAATTTGAGTTTCTAGCATTATCACTTTCTCCTTTAGCTGTAATTCGTTTTCCTGTAACGCTATTCGGAGTTCGTGTTCTTTCTTTAGTTCGTTTTCGGCACGTGTTGCACGCTCTTCGGAAGCACTAACCTGAGTGGATAACGTTTGTGAGGTAGTCTTAAGAATTTCGCCTAAATTTACTTTATCGTTGCTCCATCTAAAGAAATGGGAGAAAAGAGAAGAATTTGAAAAAAAAAATATTTTCTTTTGAATTAAAACTGTTACATTAGAAAATATATATTTTAAGCAATTAATTTTGGGTTTTGGCATAACTATTCGTGAGACAGTAAGAAAAAAACTTTTTATTAGAAAAGTTATACGAATCATATGATATAATTCTGGAGTTATGGATTTTTGAATTTTTTAACATATCTTTTATCTCTCGATTTTAATTTATTAAGTATTTAAATACATTTTCAATGGACATCTGCTCTTTTGCAAGCAATGGATAATGCAATTCCACACAGAAATTTAACTCCGTATAACAATATCCTAACGGACCCGACCAATTTGAGCCATTTTATCTCCAACCGTTTTACTGTCATATAGGATTTTGTGTTTTTTTAGGCTATTTTACACATTTGCTCTGTTCGGGAATCTACAAGGATCGACTAGTTTTGCAATTTCTTTCCATACCATATTCATAGTATACAGGGTGAGATGAAAAAACTGCAACCAACTTTAGACTACCGTCATTTCCAAGCCACCCGTTCGACAGCTGTTACAATTTTTCAATGACAGCTCATTATATTGTTTACAAGCGTACAAAAGAATTTTGGTGAGAATTTCACAGAAAAAAAGTTATTCGTGATGGAATTCAAGAGTGATAGTGTGATTTCTTTATATTTGGCTGGGTAACCACAATTGCCTATCATTAGAGCACTCCAGCATTTAAATGTGAATAAATCTTTTGTGTCTCGTACCATCGGTTGTTACCGTGATACTGGTAGCGTAGCCCGACGTCAAGGAAGTGGACGGAAGAAAACAGCAACATCAGCAGAAATGGTTCGAAAAGTAAAGAAGGGAGAAAAATGGCTCGTGAGCTGAACATATCACAATATTCCATTCGGCAAATATTGAAAAATGAAGTGGACGGAAGAAAACAGCAACATCAGCAGAAATGGTTCGAAAAGTAAAGAAGGGAGAAAAATGGCTCGTGAGCTGAACATATCACAATATTCCATTCGGCAAATATTGAAAAATGACCTTCGGGTCAAGCCATTGAAATTCCAAAAAGTGCAAGAACTTACACCGCAACCGAAAAAATATACTCAAAAGAGCTAAAGAGTTGCTTCGCTTGGCCGAAAGTGGTGAGCTGCCGAATTTGGTTTTCTCCGATGAAAAAAACTTTCGTTGTCCAGCAGTTTGTAAACAAACAAAATTATCGTGTTTACTGCCAAAGAGGTCAGCTGAAAATGTGCACCTTCGGTTGGCTACCAGAACTCAAACGCCGGCCTTGGTGATGGTGTGGGCCGTCATAAAAGCCGATGGTCGCTCTACGCTCGTATTAATCGACCGTGGCATCAGAATAAATTCCGAATATAAAAATATTCTGGAGAGTGTATTAAAGTCTTGGGCACGCAAACATTTTGGCCGCTGACATTGGACATTCCAATCGCACTCAGCACGCGCCACCCAAGAAAGTTACAAAATGAGGTTCCTCGCTTCATTTCCAGCTCACAATGGCCACTAAAATCTCCGGATAACAATCCGTTGGACTATTGTGTCTGGAGTATTTTGGAAAGCAAGGTTGGCACTAAAAAATATCGAAGTTTCGATCGCATCAAGCAAGCGATTCGCCGGGAATGAGCCAAAATACCGCAGAGCAACACGGGCAGCATGTGATGATTTCATTGGCCGTTTGAAGGCCATAATTCGTTCCATAGGTGACCAATTCGAACAAATCTAAACTTATTCTAAAATTTGATGCTATTTCCGAAATTTTTAGCTTTCATTCAATAACATTTAAGAAAAAATGTAAAAATTAGGGCGTTTGACCTTGTTGCAGTTTTTTATCTCACCCTGTATTGTCTTTGTCAATATTAAGATTTTAACCTTCCAGCGAGTCAGAAAATGTGGTATTTTCGTTCCTTATTTCAAAATACGGTTAAAAGCCTCCTTTAAACATGTTAAAATATTTTCTTCAACATTATTTGTCAAGAAATCCTGCTATAGGTCCCAGAACAGTCGAAATCTTACCTTAACGCCTGGAATTCGACGAATTCTTCTTTGTTCAAGACCAACAACATTACCGTATGCTTTGTTGGTGTATATTGGCGACAATGCTCATCAACGTATTTTTCTTTTTTTCAGTCAGTGCACACTAATGCTAAATAACCTAACTCAAACGACCTCAAGGCACAAGTGGACCATATAGATGGAGATAAAAAATTTCCCCGCATGTCAGCATAGTAATGTGTTTTGTTGCAATACCATCGAAATCATCATATGATCAGGTGGGTCAAGGATGTCTAAAGTGCTCGCAGAGTTTCACAAGAAGCGTTTATGAGTACCCTTGTAGAAGTAGATTATTCTAATTGATTTTGTTTGGTAATTTCAGTGTGGGTGTGTAGTAGCAAATAGGTTTTGATGTTGCTGTGGACTCGTTCTAAGAGCATACTCCATTTCTTATTTTCTTGCAGGAGTACTTCGTGTAAAATTCGGGTAGAGAATGAAGCTCGTATTTCAGAGCTCTGCCAATAGCATAAGAAAAATTTCCGACGGATCTGAAAAGGAGAATCACCGATCTACATCTTTTTTTTTTGGTAAAATACGCTTGGGCGCCAATGGATGACAATTTGCAGAATATCATAATATGAACTGCCAAAGCAACCAACCCCAAAACCAACACGGAGATGATATAAAACTCGATTTTTGGTCAACTTTTATATACGAATCGAAAATATGTAACGATTACACTTTGCAACACAAAAAATAAAAAAAATTTTATGTCATAGGACTTGTCCCAGACAAAAAAAAAACAAGGAAACTGAATCGAAACCTAGGTATTCCGTGCCTACCCCCTGGTAAACATTAACATCGTTCTCCACTAATAAACAAACGTTGTTTTTATAAAAACACCAATGATAGGATTAAGCCTTACCATATTGCAACAACAAAATACAAATTTCAACAAATCGGACGAACTAGCTTCTAGACTCAATTCGATCCTAAGTCCCAAATTCCATCGGACAATAAATGCGACCTGTACTTTGTTTACAAAATACATGGACAGACGGGCGGACAGACGGACGGACATGCATAAATCGACTCAGAATGTGATTCTATGGAGATCATCAAGAGGAACTAGACCTATCTCATTTCCTTTTGCCTGTTACAAACAAACGCACACAGACATAATACCCTGACCACCTTGTGGTGTAGGGTATAATGATGCCATTTTTGAAGTTTAATACCATTTTAAGAACTTTTTTAACCTTAAAAAAAGTTTTAATTCTAGCTCATTCGGGGTTTCCAATGCGGAAAAATACACATACATAGAAATACAACAACGGTAAAACAAAAACTTAAAGCGTGCTGGGAAAGAGCAGAGTCTACCCGGTTTAACCCACTGTCACCAAAATAATAGTTAAGCCAAAACACCAAAACCCAGAACCAGAGAAAGAATACATCAACACTTACTTTTGTTCTAATGTGGCTATCGTTGTGGCCATGTACTCTTTTTGTGACTCTAATTTTTTCAACACCTCCGTCTTGTGTTTCAGAGATGACTCACATTCCTGGCGAATATAAAGAAAGAAATCATACACTTGATATTTTTTATACATTTTCTTTTTATTAGATATTTTTAAAAATTATAGTTATGTTGTTAATAAATTTTGTAAAGAAATTAGTAAAATTAATTAACTAAAAATATATGTTATAGAAAAAAAAACATTCGTTTATAGTTCATAACATTCCAACTCCATCATTTGTTGTGGGTTTTATATGACCTTTTGAGATTCTAGTTTGAAAATGATTTAAAAATAAAATAATGCAAACCTAAATACTATGCATTTAATTAATGTTTAATAATATATATGTATGAAGTAAATATGTAAATGAGTGGGTGTTGGGTTATAAGTATGCATTTATGTTTGTATTTTTATAAGTTAGTTGAAGCATGGTACAAGTTAAAGCTTTCCTTTAATTATTGTTTTCAACTTTTCTTGTTTTTGTTTTTTAAATTACCAAAATAATTAAGTTACTAAATATTTTGTTACTTCTCTTCATCTTCATCTTTTTTTTTTTTTTTGTTATTGAATATAATTTAAGTTGAAAATCTACTTTTTGGATAATCAATATAATATCTTTCAACACAGATAGATAATATAGTATTCATAATATATAGTTGTTCGACCAATATTTTCTACATATATTTTTTTTCTCAACATTTTACTAACGATAAGTTATTTTTTCTTTTTTGCTTTTGTTTGTTTGTATTGTTACTTTAGTTTCTTTCGACTGACGTTTTTTATTTTTTTTTTGTTACAACATCTAGGATTTCTTTTTTTTTTCATGGGATACAAGTCCTAGGTACCACATACCATTAGCCATACCATTCGTGTATAGAATTACTATTCGAAATATTATAGTTGTAATTTAAAACAAGTTCACTTTGCTGGGGATCGGAATCCCAAGAAGAAAACTCACAGACAACGTATTGAATTTGAACTCACAATATCTTATATATTCCTTTATTTCAAAATGAGGAGTATTATTTTGAAAATTTGAAAAAAATTTAAATTAAATAAATTGGTCTGTTCCAGTACCTGCAAGAATCTACTAGTTTGAATTTTTTTCAAGGCCAGAGCAAATATTGAAAGTAAAAAAAATTGATTATTTCGAAGATTTTCTTTTAATCGAACGAAATATAGTTTTAATCCAATATACAGGGTAAGATGAAAAAACTGTAACCAACTTCAGACTGCTGTCATTTCTAAGACACTCGTCCGACATATGTTAAAATGACAGCTCATCATATTGTTTACAAGCGTACAAAAGCAATTTGGTGAGCATTTTCCAAAAAAAAGTTATTCGTGATAGAATTCAAGCGTGATAGTCTGATTTCTTTATATTTGGCTGGAAAACCACAAGTGGCTATCGTTAGAGCACTCCAGCATTTAAATGTGAATAAATCTTTTGTGTCTCGTACCATCGCTCGTTACCGTGACGTTACTGGTAGCGTAGCCCGACGTCAAGGAAGTGGACGAAAGAAAACAGCAACATTAGCAGAAATGGTTCGAAAAGTAAAGAAGCGACTTGATCGAAACCAGCGTCGCAGTGGCCGAAAATTGGCTCGTGAGCCGAACATATCGCAATATTCCATTCGGCAAATATTGAAAAATGAGCTCGAGGTAAAGCCATTGAAATTCCAAAAAGTGAAAGAACTTATACCGCAACAGAAAGAATATCAACTCAAAAGAGCTAAAGAGTTGCTTCGCTTGGCCGAAAGTGGTGAACTGCCGAATTTGGTTTTCTCCGATGAGAAAACATTCGTTGGACCAAAATCCCCGGATACCAATCCGTTGGACTATTGTGTCTGGAGTAGTTTGGAAAGCAAGGTTGGCACTAAAAAATACCAAAGTGTCGATCACCTCAAGCAAGCGCTTCGCCGGAATGGGCCAAAATATCGCAGAGCAACATTCGGGCAGCGTGTGACGGTTTCATTGACCGAAGGCCTTAATTCGTGCCAAAGGTGACGAATTCGAACAAATCTAAACTAATTATAAAATGTAATGCTATTTCAGACTTTTTTTTTTGCATTCATTCAATAAAATTGAAAAAAAAATTAAAAATTATGGCGTTTGACTTTTTTGCAGCTTTTTTATCGCACCCTGTATACATATTTTAGAGCTTATTTATATATGTTTTCTATTCATACAAGATTTAATTTTTCAAAAAAAAACTGAAATCTTGTTCCAAAAAACCATTTAAAATGAATATAAATGTTTAGAGGTTTCCGTTGAAATAGACAGATTTTCATTCAAACCCGGTTGTATCAACTAGAAATTTTGACAGCAAAAATAGAATGTTTTGAGTTAGCAATGAAATGCTTTATAAACCTCAAGACAAAAAAGGTTTAAATTGCACCTAAAATATTTCGAAATAGTGTTGTTATACTATCGTTTATATAATTTATATAATAATTTATTTTTTTTTTTTCATAACATTTTAGTTTTTTTTTTTAAAGGCATAATTTACTTGTGTTTATAATATAAATATATTATATATAATAAATTAAATATTTTTCTTTATAATACATCTAATTGTCTTGCTTTATTTTAAGAAATATTTTACAAATTAATTTTTGTTTTTCAAATGAGAAATATTATAGAAATTAAATTTTAATACCATAATTAAGTAGATGTAGAATAAGATTTTTGTAGAGAAGTTTGAAAAAAGAAAAGGTTGGTTCGACTCCCTTTTTCTCTCAAAACGTTCTCTCCTTTCTAAACTTACTCATCCGACGAATTTTCTTGGTGTGGCTTAGAGTTCAGCAAAAAAAAACAATATTATGAAATGTAGGAAAATAAAGCAAATTTATTTTTAAAATATCTCAAGAGAAATATTAAATTTTAGCAATGATTAGAGTGCGTTCCAAAGAGAAACGATAAATGATAAACCCGATAAGCAGTATAGAAGTTCTACTTTAAGAGAGAGGTTTAAAAGGGTTTATTCTAAAAATAACATAGGGGACTATATATAATTTAACAGGTAGTATTTTAATTGAGTTGTGAAACAGATCTTGGGTTGTAATCGGCTTAATGCACCTTATCTGCACATACCAGATAATGGTTAAAATATAAGCCAGTAAAAAAGATTCAGAACGCTTTGAAAATGTATTAACTAACTCAAATTGTGCAAAAGTCACCTGGGAACTATACCTCGAATATGTGGCAGTCATTACTCGTAATAAGTTGCACATAAGGCTATCAACGTTTTGCTGGAATGCATAACATTAATCCCGACTTATAAAAGTCCATCGATAGCAAATAATAATGTATCTACGGAAAACATAATAAATACAGAGTGAGATGAAAAACTGCAGCCAACTTCAGACTGCATTTGTTGCCCAGCAGTTTGTAAACAAACAAAATGATCGTGTTTACTTGACAAAGAGGTCAGCTGAAAATGTGCACCTTCGGTTGACCACCAGAACTCAAGCGCCGGCCATGGTGATGGTGTGGACCGCCATAACAGCCGATGGTCGCTCTCCGCTCGTATTAATCGACCGTGGCATCAGAATAAATGCCGGATATTATAGCGAAAATACCCTGGAGGGTGTATTAAAGCCCTGGGCACGCAATCAATTTGCCCGCGACCTTGGACATTCCAACAAGACATTCCATCACCATCCCAGTCAGCACGCGCCACCCAAGAATGGTTACAAAATGAGATTCCTCGCTTTATTTCCAGCGCACAATGGCCACCAAAATCTCCGGATACCAATCCGTTGGACTATTGTGTCTGTAGTATTTTGGAAAGCAAGGTTGGCACTAAAATATACCAAAGTGTTGATCACCTCAAGCAAGCGCTTTGCAGGGAATGGGCAAAAAAAACCGCAGAGCGAGATTCGGGCAGCGTGTGACGGTTTCATTGGCCGTTTGAATAAATTTCAATAAAATTTAAAAAAAATGGAAAAATATAGCGTTTGATTTTGACGCCTACTCTTCAAGCACTCCCTCTCGTGAATATGTTTAACTCTCGAGTAGAAACTGATGGTAGTGTTAATTACAAAATCCAAGAATAAATTTTGAAACAATTTCCGGAGAAAAATTTAACTCCCCGAATAACGGGGAGGAAATACAACCACACCGAATATCGCGGAAGCAACGTAATATGGGGATAATACGAATACGTGGATCTATATAGAGCAGTTTCTGCCTGGTAGGTTGGTAACCATTAAGAACTTCAAATGCCAAACAATTCCATTGTAAAGTGCGAAAGCGTAGACCGATATACCCCATTTTCAATACCCTAAAAAACGTCACGACCAGCTACGTCGTAAAGAAAAACTGTCCGTACTATGTGGGGTACAGGATATAAACGAGCGATATTTTGCAATTCTTAATAAATAGTTTAGTTTACACATTATGTTGGAGTCATATGTAACGTTACTTATTCCACGTTTATATCTAGCATTTTTATTGCATACTTTTAGGTTCTTTTCAGAATTTTTATACTAAGAAGAAACTATTTAAAGTACAGCATAAATCAATTTATTCAATATATAATTTAAGTGTACATATATTACATACTATTGTGTAGTATTAGCTTTTATAATATAACGATCCTTTGAGGTTTAAAAATTGTCGGAGGAACAGCTCAAAAGTATGTTTTACAAATACTAAATATAAAATGTAGAAAAGTTCACTTTATGTATGACTCTTACATGATGTGTAGATTGACGTTACATGCGTATTGAACTCACTCTTGCATATTTAAGATAATTACAAAGTTATAAAATTAGCGAATTTTAATCCCCTTTTCATCTTAAAAATTAATGTTTACAATTCGAAAACAATAGTAATATGGAAAATCTTTAAATAAAATATACCAATACATTTCAATTTCTATTATAAATATAATAAATACTAAATGCAATAAAATTTTTTATAATCTAACAAAATTTTCAACTTCTAAAAGAAGATAAACAGAGGGAGAGATACAAATAATTTTCCTTAATTAACAGCAGTTGCTGGTGGAGGAGGAGTTGGTGTCGCCTTCTTTTCTTCAGATTCATAAAATTCACTTATCGCTGCAGTCGCGGTGCTGTTATTGGGCAATGAAGCTGCCGTTAGCATTTCTGAATCTGAATTTTTATTATGCACATTATTTTCAGCCACTGTGCCATTGTCGGTACCCTCATCCATGCACAGCTTAAGCGATTTAGCTGACATTGGAGTCTTTACTTCCGGTATAGATTCATGGAATTTCTCGGATGTGGCCGAGGGGGATTTACGATAATTGTTAGGATTAAATGGCGGTATACCATCCATTTTCAAATGTAAACGTTTCATAGGTGGTCCAATGTCTTGTTTATGTTTTTTGGTTAATGCTTCGAAGATTTGTAGATTCTGTTGCCGGCGACTGGTGGGTGATTTTTCCGCTGGATTTCCCGTTGCCGACGACGACGAGCCCATCATTGAGGTGTCCATTTTGCTTTCGTATTTCTTTTCTAGCGATTGTAGAATGTTGCCAATTTGCGAGGCTTTGTTTTGCAGACGAGCTACCATTTCGCCCTTTTGCGTGAGTTCATCTTCACATTCCTGTTTCAGCGTCCAACGACAGGAGCAGTGGGAGTATTGTTGGTTAGGTAATGTTTGTTTTGATTCAATTTATTTATCAAAATATGATGATGGATGGAGGATATGAAATAGTTGAGGAGGAGTTTTACAAAGAGAAAACTTATAAATGTAGCTGCCAGTTTGAAACAAAAATTCTGTAAGCCATAATTACAAATTCAAATTGAATTTGAACACAAGAATAATTAAAAACAAAAATTAATTTCGAAATAAATAATGAGCGGGGTTAATAAGTAATGTTTCTCTTTTTGTTTTTTTTTTTTTTTCTTTTTTCGTCGATGTTCGTTTGATGATTATGATTTGATGATGGTTCTGATTGATGAGAATGAATCGAATGCATCGCATGCTTACTTAACAATGTTGAGCGGGGCAGAGAACTAGCGAGTGTTTTCAATTTGCCTCGTCACCACTTCATTGCCATTGTTTAGTTAGTTAGTATTTTAATTTTGGAATGTTTACCAACCTGTAATTTACGATACATTTCCAAATTTATTTGTTTGATTTCATCCAGCTGCAGTCGCAGAGATACAATGGTATCCTGCTTCTCATGTATATCCTTTTCCAAGAGTTTCATGGCCATATCGGATTCAGCCTTTAAAGCTATTTGTAATTTCAATTCTTTCTCCAGTTCCATGGTTTTCTTCTTTTCCTTGTCCAATTCGGTTTTTAGTGATTCAACAGCATTTTTGTCATTATCTTTGGAATTGTTGGAGCTGTTGTCACTTTGATTGGAATTAAGAGATGGGGGTCCGACATCTTAGAGAATTTTGGGATTTTTTAATGATAATATTTCTTTTGTTAATAAAGGGTATAATATTCAGTAACATACTTGCAATAGAATTTTGCCTCATAGCCTGATTTTCGGCTTGTAATGCTAACAAACTGTTTCGGGCTATAGCCAAATCCTCTTTCATCAAAGCATTTGTGGTGGTCAAAGATTCAACTTTGGCCTGCAAATTTGCCACCGTTGCGCTGCATGGATTTGAATTTTTATTTTGATTTAAGTTTTTAAATTTGAAACCAAAGAGAGGTAGAGAGAGGGAGGCGAAGGGACTAGGATACATAAACTAGATAAAAATGGTATATTATGTATAGGACCAAGGCCAATTTTCTATAAAATTTTTTCTATAAAAGATATATAGTCCTACAGATGCCTTCTATTTTTAGGGCATCAAGTGTAAAGAAGTCTTTTTTGTACGGAAGACCAACAGAAGATGGTCCTACATCCAGATTTGCTTGTTTTAATCGCGAGTGGTGAGTATGTTTTACTCGCGAGCGGGAGTTCTAAAAGAGAAGGAGTTTTAGCAAAGTCTACTCTCCACTCTTTTGTTTCATGTGAGAGCGCTGACTGAAAAATAAGAATGGGAGTCAAAATGCTCGAAATGGTGTTTACTCTGAGAGTAAAAAAAAAGAATTAATTTTTTGCTAATTTATGTGATCGTGTGTAGTAAACTGATTTTAATGTCGGTAGTTGTAGATTATGATCGAGAGGAATTTACTCTGACTCGCTTTTATTCGCGTGGCATAGAAAAATAGAGAACACACAGTTTTTTTTTTTTCTCGCGGTAGTAATCCTCTTGTATGTATATATAACTCACAGAAGCTCTTCTTTATGTAGAAGACCCACTGAAACTCTTCTATATATGGAGGACCCACAAAAGTCATTTTTTGTGTAGAAGACCCACAGAAGTCCTTCTATGTACAGAAAATAAACGGAAACTCTTCAATGTATAGAAGACCCACAGAAGGTCTATTATATATAGAGGACCCACAGAAGCTCTTCTATGTATAGAAGATCGGCAAAAGCTCTTCTCTGTGCAGAACACCCACAGAAGCTCTTCTATGTGTAGAAAACACACACAGAAGCGTTTCTTAATATAGAGGACCCTTAGAAACTCTTCTATGTGTAGAATACCTGCAGAAGGCCTTCCATCTTTTTTCAAATATCGTTGGTCCTTTTACATACTCCACTCTTTTTTTCTCTCTCCATCCCCTCTCTGGCGAAAATATAAATGACACTCACTTTAAATGACGATTTAGTTCCTCAATATAATTCTTTTGATCTAAAACCGCAATCATGTTACCCTGACCATTGGCGTCCATATTTGTTTGTTGTTGTTGTTGCTGTTGTTGATTTTCTTCTTCAATGTCATTATTGCGAGAACTTGAACGAAGATACAATGAGAAATCAATGACACCTTGTTGAGAATCTAAATCCTCTTCTTTAACGCAAAGATTGCAATCGATGACGTTTAAGCCCACCAAAATGCCCATAATTATAACAATCTGAAATAGAGGTATTTATCAGGCAACAATAAAAATCCATAGTAAAAGCGTTACCGTACCTCATCGCTCATCATTAAAGCATGTGGTTCATAGTAATCATAAAGGGCATCCTCACGATGCTCGATCAGAGCCTGCAAATAATCGGCCAACTTTTTTTGCATTAACGCTATACGCAACCAGGCCCGGGCACGACCGATGTGAGTGCGAACGGTGGGTAAGTCGCGCACACTAGCCGTTATATCTTGGGCCTCGGGACAATACGTTTCGACGCACTGCAACAGATCCCACAATTCTTTGCGTGGACCCAATAAACCCTATAATTGTTGATGTTGTATTTATGTTAGGGTAGTACTCTGAAATATTTTTTCTTCTTATTTTTTATACCTTTTTTGTTCGCAACCCATGACCCAGTACATGTTCAATAACAATGAAAAAATGTTGCAATGGCAAATGATCCGAGTCCAACATACGACCATAACGCACCGATTGTTCTAGCAATTCTTTGACTACCAATTTACAGATATTTACCAAATTACTGCGCTCGATTTCGGCTGGATCGCGTGCTGAAAATACCAATTGTTCACAAGAGATGGCAAAATGGATAATGAGTAAAAATGCTTTGAATAGAACAGATACGAAGATCAGTTCCCTTGGAAATGCAAGACAAATCAGGAATAACCCTATATCGAATCGATTTTTGAGAGTAGTGAGGATTATAACGTAACGTTACCAATTTTTTTCAAACAAATTTATTGGAAAACTTCCCAAAAAAAAGCAAAAGCAAAAAAACACTTGGAAAACTCAGAAAAATTACCTCTTCTAAATGAGAAGACCACCAAGTCTTCTATAAAAAGACACTTTTTTTAACAAAGACCTTCGATTGAAAAAGCATTCTTAGAAAATTCCGACACTAAAAATACCGGGGGGACCGTTATATGGGTGATATACGAAGACGTTGAACTGCACAGACAATTTTCTGTCATAGGCTGTAGTACCCATTACGAACTTCGAATACCAAATATGAAGCAATTCCGGTACATAATGTCTCTAAAAACATAAAAATACCGAATATCGGGAGGTAACGTTATATGGGGGCTATACGAAAACGTGTACCTACATGGCCCATTTTCTGTCTTAGACTGTATTACCCATTACGAACTTCAAATACCAAATTTGAAACAATTCTGGTAAATAATTTCGCTAAAATCATCAAAATACCGCATATCGGGAGGTACCGTTATATCGGGGCTATACGAAAACGTGTACCTACATGGCCCATTTTCTGTCTTAGACTGTATTACCCATTACGAACTTCAAATACCAAATTTGAAACAATTCTGGTAAATAATTTCGCTAAAATCATCATATCATCGCATATCGGGAGGTACCGTTATATCGGGGCTATACGAAGACGTGGACCTAAATGGCCCAATACCAATACAAATTCCGGTACATAATGTCTCTAAAAACATAAAAATACCGAATATCGGGAGGTAACGTTATATGGTGGCTATACGAAAACGTGTACCTACATGGCCCATTTTCTGTCTTAGACTGTATTACCCATTACGAACTTCAAATACCAAATTTGAAACAATTCTGGTAAATAATTTCGCTAAAATCATCAAAATACCGCATATCGGGAGGTACCGTTATATCGGGGCTATACGAAGACGTGGACCTACATGGCCCAATACCAATACAAATTCCGGTACATAATGTCTCTAAAAACATAAAAATACCGAATATCGGGAGGTAACGTTATATGGGGGCTATACGAAAACGTGTACCTACATGGCCCATTTTCTGTCTTAGACTGTATTACCCATTACGAACTTCAAATACCAAATTTGAAACAATTCTGGTAAATAATTTCGCTAAAATCATCAAAATACCGCATATCGGGAGGTACCGTTATATCGGGGCTATACGAAGACGTGGACCTACATGGTCCAATACCAATACCAAATGTATAAAATGTATATTTCGAGATGTTACAAACGAAAAGACAAATTTAATATACCCTCCATACTATGGTGGAGGGTATAAAAAATAATATTTGTTCTGTTCCAAGAATCTACTAGTTTTGTAATTTTCTTCGATATCATAAAGGGAAAATCCGTCATCGTAGTAAACACTTTAAAATTCTCAGAGTTCTAGAACAGACCAATTATTAATAGTGCTTCCTTTCCGTTTGTCCAATGTTTGCTATCTTCAAAACTAAGAATTACATTTCGAACCCCCCAATTTTAAATCAACGTAAAAGTTCGTCTTGCTTTCCCTTAAGGAACTGATGACAATATTTCCCTAAAAATATACCCCTCCCATTAATTTACAACCATTCAAAATTCATATTATTCTTCTTCTTCGTTGCAAATGAAATTAGAAAAAGTCAAAACAGAAAAATAAAAATAATATTTTCTTGGAAACACACACAGAATTGGAAAAAAATTAAATTATGAAAAATATTTTCAAATGTACATTAATATTTATGACAATAGCTTCCTCTTGTTCCGATCTCTACGACTGGAATGTCAAAACTGTGGAAAATGAAAAGCCAATTATTCAAAATGGAGCTGCTGCCGAAAGCGATACAGATTTTGGTGATGAATTTAAAGTGCAAACGGCATTAAATAAAGAAATGCAACGGGACCTTTTGAAAATTTCGGGTAGAGCAAATGATAAGTACATTATTAGCAAGGACGAGAATTACAATAATGAAAATAAATATCCTGTGAATTATGGTGATAAAATTGATTTGTTAGATGGATTTAAATACGAGAATGCTGTGCATAATAACAATGTTAATGGCAAGGAGGCGGCAGATATACAAATTGTTACAAAACCTAAAGAGCAGGATAATAAAGAAGAAAATAGGCAGGATGATTATTTTTCAGCAGCTGCTTTGTCTACTGAAGGATTTCGTAATAACCGCAGAGAACAAAAACAACATTTAGAGCAATATATACATAAAAATGATGGTGTTGGCAATAATTCGAATCGGCAACTCGATGATAATTCTGCAAGAGATTTTTATAACAGTCAAAGAGAAATTAGCAAACCTATAACTCCCAAGAAGAATAGAGGCATTTTTCCTAAATACGAAGACAATAATGCATTTAATCGAAACGTTTATGAAAATCCCTATGCACAGTGGAATGACAATTTTGATTTAAATGAGAACAATGCAAAGAAAAATAACGAAGCTGCAAAACAAGATAATGGTTTAAATGAAAATCACAATCAATTTGAAAGAGTAATCAATTCCGGCATGAACCATAAGGAAGATAAAAACTGTCGAGTAATGGAAGATTTGGAAATAGAAGATTTCCTGGGATCAAATCTACTTGGGAACTCTCCAAAAAAATGCTTCTCTGCTGAGGATATACAAATGCTGATAATTCGCAGAGATTTTCAGGTAAGTTTGTAATTTGTAATAATTCTAAAATCGTATGTGCATTGAAGATATTTTAAGTCTTGTGTGTAGACATTTTGAGCATGATAAATTTTACAAGTCGTCGTTTCTGACAGAGAACTACTACTAAAAAAAACTACCCCTATATTGACTATGTTTTTACACAGGTGGTATTTACGAACCATAAATATGGAATTACAAAAAAATTCTCTAAAGAAACTTGGCTAAGGTCAAATTACCGTATATCGGAGATACAGCTAAAAAATCAATTAAGAAATGTGTCATAAATATACAGGATGTCGAGACGTACAATAATATGATAGATATAGGAAAGCCTTACAATATACGAACAATGTTATGCCATAGGAGACAAAACTCATAACGAAATCTAAAGACGGAATTTCAAACAATTCCCTTGAACAATCTGACTAAATAAAATCATCAAAATACCTAATATTGAAAGGTACCGTAATATGGAGGCTACACGAAGACGTATAAGAAATTTTCTGTCATAGAAAGTGATACACATTGCGAACTCCAAATACGAAATTTAAGAAAATTGCATTGAAAAATGTGATACAAATCATCAAAATACAGAATATTGGGAGGTATAGTTATATGGGGGCCGTGTGAAAACGTAAACCTGTGTAGATACTTTTCTATCAGAGAATATGGAACACTAAACACCAACTTTAAAATAATTCCGTTGAAAAATGTTTTTTTTTTTTTAAATCATGGAAATACCAATGAAACGAAATACCAAATCTTGGCCTACATAAAGTCAGCGCACCTTATATACCTCTGAATAAAATTATATCAATCTACTTTATTTCGTTCGGAAGCTAAAGTGATTTCCAAAGATATCGGACGGTCACGGTTAAATTTTATGCCGATCAAGTATGTATATATATTTTGTGGGTTTCAAATGGACAGTTCGCAATTAAAACTTAATATATCCTCCACACTTGTTTTTGTTTTTATACCCTACACCACATACTGGTAAGGGTATTATTTCTTTATGCATTTATTGGTAACATGGAGAAGGAAGCGAGATAGACCCATAGTTACTTTTGAGGATATTCGTAGAATCACTTTCTGAGTCGATTTATGCATGCCAGTCCGTCCGTCCGTCCAAGTATTCTTGTGAATAAAAAGGTAGGTCGCATTTATTATCCGATTGAGATGAAATTTTGCAAACAACATTTGTTTGGCCCAAGGGCGAACCCTATTTAAATTGGTGATAATCGGATCAGATTTAGACATAGCTTCCATATATATCTTCAACCGATTTCGGGTTAATTGTGCACCAAATGGTCAATATAAATCCAAATGACTTGAATTTTGGCACATCCGACCGAATTCAGTTTGGAAGCAAGTTCATCAAATTTGGAGAAAATCGTATCCATATATATGTTTCATCCGATTTGGTGTTTAAGGCCCTCACATTCGTAATATGCATTCGTCAACAATGATATTTGGTACCAGATAACAGATACAGCCCAGGCATACCTCTGCCAAATTTTATCGAGATCGGTTCAGATTTGGATATAATTCCCACATATATCTTCAACCGATTTCGGGTTACTTGTGCACCAAATGGCTAATATCAGTCCAAATTACCTGAATTTTGGCATGACTTACCGAATTCAGTTTAGAAGTAAGTACTTCAAATTTTGAAAATCGGTTCAGATATAGCTGTAGCTCCCGTATATATATTTCATCCGATTTAGTATTTAAGTCCCTCACATTCATAATATGCATTCGACAGCAATGATATTTTGTACCCGATATCTTATAGAGCTCGGAAATACCTCTCTATCAAGATCGGTTCGGATTTGGATATTGCTCCCATATATATTTTCAACCGATTTCGGTTTAATTGTGCACCAAATGGCCAATATCTCTCCAAAAGTCAGTCTAGAAGCAAGTACATCAAATTCAGAGAAAATCGGTCCAATATATGTTTCATCCGATTTGTTGTTTAAGTCCCTCGCATTTGTACATTCGACAACAGTAATATTTGGTACCAGATATCTTATAGAGCTCGGAAATATCTTCGTCAAATTCTATCGAGATCGGTTCCAATTTGGATATAGCTTCCACATATAGCTCTTAAATCCGATTTCAGGTTTATTATGCAAATAATGGCTAAAATCAGCACAAATGGAGGGAATTGCAGGACGTACGTTTCCATTTTGTGCAATGCGGCTCCGATACATACTTTTTTAATATAATCCTTCTCAAAGTTATATCATGATCTCTATAGCAAACTATACTACTACTTTAAATAAATTCAATTGTAACTGGAGCTCTACTAAATGTTGTGTAAGGTATCATATAGTCGGCCCCTTTTCCTTACTGGTTTATTTAATTAATTGAATACTAAAGGAAACCAAGAAACATTGGTGAAATTGGCTGTTCAGGATCGTATTTGCAAACTTCTATGTTGCTTCCCAGACATATCAACATCTGACACATATATTCGAATCCTAACATTGTAAATTATTGAATACTGAAGTTATCAATTGGTTTGTTAAAAAAAGCACTTCAAAAACACAATGTACGAAAAAGACCAATTCACGTTTCTCTATCCGTGGAAATAGAATTTTCACTCCTGAAAAGTCCTAACAAAAACCTATCATTTTCTTTTTTAGAATCTCATACCCAAGGAACTGCCAAAAGCTCTTCTAACAGATGAAATGCTAATGATTTTAATGGATTATTTTCACACCTGTCATCAACTGATAACAACAATGGATTCAGAAGATTCTAACAATATATCCGAGAAAGTATTTTTCGACACTCTTGGCGGATATTTAAATTTCTATTTAGTTCCTGTGGCAAAATATTCCTACTATGCTGGTTTGTCAAGTTTAAAATCTGTTCAAAATATTCTAACCTTACATGAACAATGTAAGAATGTTCTCAATACCAATGGTAATGGCTGGCAGGAGCCAATGGATGAGGTCTTAAATGAATTGGAAGTTGTGAACGTTGAACCATTAAAAATCTACCAAAATGATTGTCAATCATCTTGTGAGCATTTGCAACTATCTGAAAATCAAGGTTTAGAAAATGATAAAATGATTGTGGCGTTACCTAAATTACAAGGAGACGATGAAAGGGGACATCTGGGAAACATATGGCTACCGTTTAGAAGAAAACGTATTTATGATTTGAAATCTTCCGAATCGCCTTATATCGTGGTGGAGTTTTATACAACTCTTCGAAAATGTTATCGTCATGTAGGGATATCACCACGTTTTTACAATCGTGAATTGAAGCAGTGGGTTTTGGAAAATATACAAATTCATTTATCCGATGAAGTGTTTTATCCCGGTTTGGGTGGAATTCTAAGGATTTTAGAATCGATAAGGAGATATCCCAGGACGAAGAATTATAAAACTGAAAAATATCATCATTATGAAGACTATGATGAGCGAGGCGAAAATTCTGTACCAATGGAAATAAGACAAAAGAAAAGTTATATGAGTGGCCGTGAAAGAAAGTCCAAGGAATTCTTAGATATTCTCAAGAAATCCAAACATCAAGAGAGTTATCATCCAAAAATGTGGCCACAGGAGATCTATGATCATTATAATGGGGATTATACCGACTACTTGGAAGAGGAGATAGATACTACCAAGCAAAAACCAAGTGAAATGCCCAAAGCAGAGAAAGGGAATGTTAAGGAAATAACAAACGTTTCCTCAAACCAGTTAGAGCAACTAAACACCACACGAGATACTCCCAATAATTCCAAGGATAAATTCAATTTCACTTGGTTGGAATATCCCCCATATGTGATTGCCATTGTCATAGCCATACCGCTTGTGGCTCTAATTTCAGTAGCTGTCGTTTGTTGCCTCAAATTAAGAAGGAAGCAAAAAACCACAAAAGAAGTACGACTGCGCGGCTACGGTGATCCAAAGAGAAAATCTTCCATTCACAACAATGATGAAGAAACTGAATTACTTAATGCCCAATCGAAATCTGTTGTACCTGGTTATAGCAGCAAATCGCTATCACAATCAATGCGCAACAATAATCATCATAGAAAATCCAAATATACGAATGTACCAAATAGTACAGGTTCGACGTCGTCTTCGTTATCGTGTCAAATACCAACAAAATGTTTTCGAACAAAACCATCTGGTCCAGCTATCATCGAGACAATGTCTTTAAATTATTCTTCTTCTGATGTTGAAGATACAGCAAATCTATTGAAAATTCCTCCGAAAGCTGTGCGAATTAATGAAAAACCCACAACGTCGGCTGTGACTAAAAATTCTGGCAAATCGGAAAAAAGGAAAGAGGCGGGAAAGACCAAAGATCTATCAAAGAGTAATGTACAAATGTAATATCAAAAAACGGAAAATATTTTATAACCAGGGGTTTCTTTATACTTTCAGAGTAAATCTAGTTGGGAAACGACATTTTCATCGGTCTAGAATTTGGAAAAATATCTTTTGTTTGGGAAAAGCATGATGATTTTACACATTTTTATACTCTTAATTTATTTGTTGATATATTTATTTGTTAAAATGTTTAAAACTTTCTATCAAAAAAGAACAAAGTTCTGCAATAATTTTCAACTTTAAGTAAAAAAATATTTCATATGAGTTCAGGCCCCACGGCCTCTCTATCGTCTTCACTTACGTGAATCGGAATTAAACATCTTCTAAAGTGCAAAAGTACATCCTGCATCCTGCATCCTTCGAAATTCCAAAAATCAGGAAATACAGCTATAATTATATTTGGAAATGTTTTATGCGACGGACTTATGCACTCTGAAAACCAGAAACGCAAGTTACAACTAATTTGGTTGGAAAATGTCTCAGAAACCTATAAAATACTTCAAACCGGAACAAGACAATAAAAGACAGTTCCATTGGGCCGAACTTTTGGAAGTAACACTTTTGTAAATGTGCCTATTGCGAACTTTTAATACCAACTTTTATACCATTTCTTTAAAAATTTTCTGTCAGAGAAGATGGTACCTAATACGAACTGCAAACCTAACTTTTAAACCAACTTTCCGTTAAAAATGGAGCTTAAATCATGAAAATAACAAATATAGGGAGGTAGCGAAATGTGGGGGTATTACGGGGACGTGTATCTATATTAGAAATTTTCTCTCTGAGTAAAATTTTATCAACCGACGTTTATGCTTATTAGGAATATACATACTTTGTGGGGTCTAAAATGTATACTTCGAGGAATTACAAACAGAATGACAAACTTAATATACCCTCCATACTGTGGTGGAGGTTATGATAACAATCAAAATCAAATCTCATAGAAGAAAACATCTTAAATTACTATTAAGAAGGCTGAGAAGGAGAGGAGAGACAAAGACCTGATTTAAACTAGGAATTTCTAGAACGTACAATTTTCTTCGTCTACATACTTCTTACCCCTTAACTTCCTAAACTTGTCTACTCTAAATTCGAACATGGTATCCAGTCATGCCATAGAGAAACATTGCTGCATCCCGCCACAAGAATACTCCTAGCAATATAGTCCTTTACTTTAAAGCGGGGGTGCTAAATTATATAAACCAATGAGCCATATGTGGGACCTTGTTTTGAACAATTGCATACTATCCTCTTCATGACCCTTCACAATTGCCCTCTAAAAATACTCAAGAAAATAAATAACAAAAATTAAAACCCAAAACAAGAAAAATAATGGCCAAATTTTAACAAAAAAAAGAAGTACGCTGTTAGTTTCAACAATTTTTGCTAAATTTCAAATAAATATCATAAAAAGCAACCTACAAAGATTTGACCATTCATTTGAAGCACCGTTGCCACCACCACCACCGAAAACACCAACAAAACCACTTTCACGTGCATGTGGTGCCATAAGCATATTTGTTCTAAAAGCGTGCTCTTGCTCATCGACAAACAGACGACGACCAGCTATAAAATTGTGTAAAGCAAATATACCATTATCCTCGAAAGGGCCACCGCTGCCACTGCCGGCATAGGAGTGACGATCACCGGCCGAGTAGCGTTTATTCTTTTGCAAGTACTGAGAATTGCGGTTGCTACCACCACCACCACCACTGCCAGAAATTACACCCGACGAAGCACTGATGGGTGCTGGAGTGCTGTCAATGTCTTGCAACTCTTTTAGGCATAGCCATTCACCATCGACGGATACCCGAAAGTTGCATAAATAAATGGTGTCTTGGACACCACCAGAAATTTCTTCGCTTGTGGTTGTGCCATGAGAGGGTGGCTTAGATAGGGCTTTGCCAGGTGACGAAGATGAGGTATCAACTTTTCCTGTGGCCACAACTGCAGCTGATGATGACGAATTGTTGTTGTGATGATTATCGCTTTTCTGATTCTGTTGTTGTTGTTGCTGTTTCTGCTGCTGTTGTTGCTTTTGTGGTTGCTGTTTTGCACGTAGTTTCACCCCAGCTGGGGGAGGGCAATTTGTGGTTTTTGTATTACTGTTGGTACTCGTATTTGTTATTGTCGTTTGTTGCTGTTTTTGTTGTTGTTGCATAGCTTTATTAGTAAAGGATGTCTTGGTTGCTGCACTTTGTTGCTGCTGCTGTTGAAGTTGTTGCTTTTGTTTCAATTGCGTTTGATTTGTCTTGCTGGCACCACTAAGATTGTTTCTTGCAGTTGCCGTTCCAGATGTCCTGTTAGTTCTACTGTTGTTTCCTGTTGTTGTAGTCTTGACAATACCACCACCACTGGTACTGGTGCTGCTGTTGCTATTATTGTTGTTGTTATTATTATTATTCACACTCAGTTTCTTTGTATCCTCGATCAACGCACGCATATTCACAGCTTTAACTTGCTTTTCGTATATTTTTTGTTGCTTCGCAATTCAGTTTCACTGTGGTCCAATTTAATGAGCCAATTTTAATTTGACTGATCTGAGTATCAGTTGTCCGTTTTTGCGTTTTAAAAATATCGCTGATTGAGGATTCTGGGGTGGTATTGTACTATTTAGGTACTTGTTCTTGAAACTTCTGCTTCGTCTTGCTTTTTATTTAGTTTTTCTTTTGTTTTGGGCTAAAAATAGAGAAGCAAAAACATGGTTGGAGGAGCACGGTTGAAAGGTAATAAAATAGAGAATTGATGTCATTTTGTGGTCGCACACATTTGGGAAAAATCGAATTAATTGCTGTGCAACTTTACCATAACAGATGTGATTGCTTTTCCATTACCTTTTCTCCACCAAATCAAATTTCTTCTTGGAAAATGTTTTCTTTATTGTGGTATAATTTTAGGCATTCAATTTTTGCTAATTGAAAATATGCAACTTTTTGGAATGATGAAAATTTGCAACACAAACACCAAACTTAAAGTAACAAACATAAAAACATTTGTTTCGCTTAGATTGCCTTTGAATATTCCACTGCTTCTTTTTTTGTGTAACTTGTACTAAATAATAATTTTATTTATTTTTTTTTTTTTGCTTTTTTTCACCAAAATATGTAACCACCACTTCTTAGACGAGGACTATTTGCTGCTGCTGAATGTACTCATTATTTCTATTCCATCGTATTCATACATCGGGCTTTTGCGAAGTAGAATTGACATTTCTTTTATTCGTTTAAATACGACTCTGGTATTTTAATTCAGTGGATGGTGGTGGAATGGTTTGGCAATGGTTCTTTGGTTGTCGTTTTAATCGTTTACTTTGACATTTGTGGGGGTGTTTGTTTTTGATGCAGCAGGTTAATTGTCAAATGTTTGTGAGTGCTGTTGCTTCAACCACTTTTGGTAGCAGTTAAAAGGGGTTGATTTTGAAGCACATCGTATTGTCACTTTGAAAACATCTGGCAATAGTGGTGGGTGGCAGTGTTAAATTTTAGATAACAGGATATAAAATAACAGTAGGTTTCGAAACTAGATGTTAATGACATAACTTGAATTTATAAAAGGAGTGGATAATAGATCTTAAGTTTGCCAAATGTATAATATAAGTTTACATTTTTATTATTAATACTATGCATACAGAGATATGTATAGATGAACAGAATATTAGAATATGTGAGAGGGTATAAAAGGTGAAATCAGTTATACCCTTGGGAGTCGTCGAGTTTACCAGCCGTCAGACAGACAGGCAAAAGGTCAGACTCGAAATGGATGCCGTTCCAACATATCCACTTTGATTTCTTGAACAACAAAGCATTTATTGGCATAATTGAAGGGAAATGGGAAAAATCGGACATCGATATTGACGGCTCTCCAAAAAAAAAAAAAACCCAAAATTTGCTACTGTGTACAACGCAGTGAACTTGGAGAATTTTGAACCGTCTGATTGTCCCTCAAAGCCAATACTTAGAGGGAATAATACCAACTACGACAATACAGGGTGATATGAAAAAACTACAACCAACTTGAGACCAGCAGTAATTTCTAAGCCACTCCGACAGCTGTTAAAATTATTGCAGTGACAGCTCATTACATTGTTTACAAGCGTACAAAAGCATTTTGGAGAGTATTTTCCAGAAAAAAAGTTATTCGTTATTGAATTCAATCGTGATAGTGTGATTTCTTTATATTGGTACCATCGCTCGTTACCGTGATACTGGTAGCGTAGCCCAACGTCAAGGAAATGGGCGGAAAAAACAGCAACATAAGCAGAAATGGTTCCAAAAGTTAATAAGCGACTTGATCAAAAGCCGCGTCGCAGTGGCCGAAAAATGGCTCGTGAGCTGAACATATCGCAATATTCCATTCGGCAAATATTGAAAAATGAACTCGGGAGTAAAGCCATTGAAATTTCAAAAAGTGCAAGAACTTACACCGCAACTGAAAGAGAATAGACTCAAGAGAGCTAAAGAGTTACTTCGCTTGGCCGAAAGTGGTGAACTGCTGAATTTGGTTTTCTCCGATGAGGAAACATTCGCTGTCCCGCAGTTTGTAAACAAACAAAATGATCGTGTTTACTTGCCAAAAAGGTCAGCTGAAAATGACTTCCTTCGGTTGGCCATCAGAACTCAAGCGCCGGCCATGGTTATGGTGTGGGCCGCCATAATAGCCGATGGCCGCTCTCCACTCGTATTAGTCGACCGTGGCATCAGAATAAATGTCGAATATTATCGCGAAAATATTCTGGAGGGGGTATTAAAGCCTTGGGTACGCAAACATTTTGGCCGCCGACCTTTGACATTCCAACAGGACTCAGCACGCGCCACCCAAGAATGGTTACAAAATGAGGTTCATCGCTTCATTTTCAGCGCACAATGGCTACCAAAATCTCTGGATACCAATCCGTTGGACTATTGTGTCTGAAGTATTTTGGAAAGCAAAGTTGGCACTAAAAAATACCAAGGTGTCGATCACCTCAAGAAAAGGCTTCGCTGGAAATGGGTCAAAATACCGCAGAGCAAGATTTGGGCAACATGCGACGGTTTCATTGGCAGTTTAAAGGCCATAATTCGTGCCAAAGGTGACCAATTCCGACAAATCTTAACTTATTCCAAAATTTGATGCTATTTTCAAAATTTTTTGCTTTCATTCAATAAAATTAAAAAAAAAATTAAACGTATGGCTATTGACTTTGTTGCAGCCTTTTTATCTCACCCTGTATTATGGATGAAAAACGAGACCAACATTTTGCAGAATTCAGAAATTCAAATGAAAAAACGCAAAATAGACCAATTTTCGCTACCAATACTGGATAGAGTTACACTTAATCTCTCTACGTGCACCAAATACCTCGGTACAATCCTGGGCCAGCTTTTAAACTAGAACAAGGACATCAAGGATCGTAGTAAAACCTGCCTCATCGTAATCTATTCATGTAGGAACCCCATATGGAAGAGCTGGTGCTTAGACCACGAGTCGTACACTGGAAGCATGTATGTCACTACCTGGGTGCCTTGTCTAGTGGTCTGCTATCGAATGCAGGGCATTCGTGTCCAAATTAACCGGGTGTTTACTGACAACCGGAGCTCTCAAGAGAACTTCCTCTGAATATTTTGGCTCAACTTCAAGCAACAAGGAATGCGCTGAGATTACGGACATACCAATTAGTCAGATGGACGGTCTAGCCATATATATAGACGGCTTCAAGATGGATGAAGGCTCCGGCACTGGTGTATTCTGCCCTAACCCAATCATTAAACGCTCATATTCTGCCCTAACCCAATCATTAAACGCTCATATAAGCTTAATGACAATTGCAAATTTGTGCAATGAAGAAAGCTTAGGAAATGGCAAAAGAACTCTGCAATAGCATAACACGACCAATGGCTATATTCCCAATAGTCAAGTGGCCCTCAAAGCTATTAAGTAAAGTGTCATTAAATCGAGCGTCACTCTTGACTCCTTTAAACACGAGGACTCATAAAGCTTTGTTGGGTTCCAGGACATAGCAATATAGTATGGAATGAAGTGGCTAATGAATTAGCTCGAGGAGGTTTAAAGTCGATTGATTGATGAGGCTGTTACACCATCAATAAGCTATTACGTTTAATCTTTATACTTAATCTAATATTAGGACAAATATTGTAATGTACGAACTTTGAAGAGAACTGGAAAATATTTTTCTATTTTATGAGAATTACAATAGAAACTCTAACGATCTTCTCAGAAATCGTTTGCAAATTTGCCAAAGCCAATCCCTAACTAGCCTCAACCAGCTCCTGCTGTATGATGATAAGAGAAGGAATTCGCAAGAGAAACATATATTTCTTGCATGTTTTTCAATTTTTCTAAAATTTCATCGCAAAATTTTTCGCTATAAAGTGTTATTGGCCTGTTGTTATATGGCAATATAGTCAATTTCTATGGAATGGCGTTTTTTCACTTTCCTTAAAATATTTCAATATACGTAGATAAATTGAATGTTGTAGAATTATTTTCTTTTACAAGCTGCAGTCATGACATCCATTAGAAACAGAAACTGAGGAAGCTATTTAGATGAAGATTTTATTGTTGTCACTTCGGATCCAATAAGCGATTGATTCATGGTATTTTTGAAATTTTTGGCGCGAAAATCGATATGTTTATTTTTTTTTTAAACAACTCACAACTTGATGCAAATAGAATGTCAATTATATCAGAACATTATTTTATGTGTAATATTAGGTTAAAGGATACGGTAACTTAAGTTTTTTATAAGAAAGATTGTGTAAACATACTTTATATCTTAAATAAAATAAACGCCAAAGCACATTTGTAAACGAACCCAAACTATAATTTCCACTTAAATTTAAAATTGATATTCATAATTTTTAAACACGCATTTTCCAAATGGCCTTCATGTGTAAAATACTTTGATCCACATTTGCGCCTTATCACAATAACAAACAGACACACTCGAATATTTAGAATAATTATTTATTATAAATAACTCACAATACCCACCCCTCCTAACAGCAAGACAATGCCCATAGATAGATACTCGGGGAAATAAATTGGAATTCACTCACCGGGCTTTTTTCGTTTGACAGGACTTGAGACTTGTGATGTGGAGGCGGAAGATGCTTCCGATGCTGCACCACCACCAGTTGCCGCCTGATACTGACCCAAAACAGCACCGGAGGCAGCTGAAGCAGCATTTGATACCATAGCACTTAGTTGAGAGGACAAACTTTCCGTACGACGGAATGTATCGCGTAAACGATTTAACGAGGACAACGACGGAGAACTGGGCAATACATTAGCTGCCGATGAATCTGCGCTTTCTTGACGCAACAAAAGCGATCTATTTGTGGACATATTTGTGTCAAGAACTTGTTTGTTATTAAATTGTAGATTTTACTTTCGGTCTGGACTTTTTGATCCAGTGGAAGAGAAACACAACACAATGTTTTATTTTACTAGATCACTACCCGTATTTTGGATGGAATACGCCGTAAACACAACACACTTGGAACACTTGTAAATCTTTCAATTTTTATTGTTATTTTGATATTGACTTCCCAAGAAAAACACGAAACAGGTTGTAGTTAGGGATACGTAAATCGAAACTGAATACTGTAGGTCCAAAGTGGGAATGCACAATAAATATAAAGATCAAAACAAAAGCAACGATAGGCCTACAAAAAACTGGGTACCAGGGTTCTAAACGCTAGAAAACAAGCTGTGATGTTCACCTATTAAACTAGTGGATGCAGGCATGGTACAATGAATTCAAGGTAGGGCAGAACTACCATATGATTTAAATTTTTTTATTTTTCTGGCTTAATATGTCAACTTCATTTGCTTTGTGTGTGTCTTCTTTTCAATAATAAAAAATTGTTCAGAAAATACTCAAATTCGGGTGTTTTCAAAATGCTTATTGCAACGTATGCATCGACAAAGTCTACAGTTTTTGTCGCGAAATAAACCATAAGAGATATAAAGAACATGCTATTGAAAAGAAATGTGACCTTTTATTCAGTTTTCGCGGTTTTAAATTATTTATTCAAAATCAATGCAACAAGTTGTTTGCTTTTTTATTGTTTTGATACTAATTTCGACATTACAAGCCAAACAGGTAAACCTTTATACATGCAATTTTTTCAAAGTTGACCTACCTTCTCTTCATTGTACCATGGATGCAGGCATGTTACCAAATCGTATCGAAATGTTTTTAATTTCAAATTCAAAACCATTCATTTTGTTTTAGCTTCTTTAGATTTCGTACGATTTGGTGAACTACAAATTCAATTTAAATATGACAACATTATATATTCAATATGGTAACATTAGGGGAAAGAAAGGACGAATGAATGAGGAATCAAAACAAAACACATGATTAGAAACATGTAGAAGTGTAAATATCCTGTTTAAAAGATTTTTTTGTGCAAAAAGCAACATTGCAATTTATTCCTCAATTTCACTGAGCACATATTTGTTGAAAGGACCACCACCAGTTTTTGTCTTTTCCTTTTTTGTGACACAATTTTTCACGTACATAGTTTTTTTTATTGTGACACATTTTTAACGTATGTCCAGTCTGACCACGTCTTTTTCCACCCATTTGAATCTTTGGTGGGTGGTCCCGAAGAATTTTGTTTTTCAGTAAGCTGTGGCCAACTTGTTTCGGCAACCACTCGATCTGTTTGGTTTTCACAGGTGAATTATTTTTCGTTTGAAGAAAAAAGTGGTTTTCAAAAAAAAAAAAAAAAATGATGTGGCAACACTTTGTTAACGATTAGCTTCGTCAATAAAGAAACCATTAAAATTTGTTAATTATTTTAAATAAAAGGAT